ATAAAGCAAAAAGTAGAGTACATGGAATGAGACCTGTAGATGTTAATTTTGACAATGCTCAAGAGGTATGGGAGAAGATATATGGCGATGTGTTTTCAACTAAAAAGACAAAACCAAAACTTGAGAAAGGAGACTATGTTCGAATGAGTCTAGGAAAAGGAGTGTTTGAGAAGGGTTACATTCCAAACTGGGGTGATGAAATACTGCAAGTAGAGAATGTTAAAAAACATGTTTACCCAATTCGATACAAAGTTCAAGATGATAAGGGTGAAAAGTTCAAAGGATCATTCTATGGAGAGGAATTAGCTCGCGTTCGTAAGGACGCTGATACTGAATATAGGATAGAGAAGGTTATAAAAAAGAAGAAGAGATCAGATGGGACTTACGATCTTTTAGTAAAGTTTATAGGTTATCCTGAAAGAGAATGGATTCATGAGACACAACTAGTATAAAAAGCATATTTAATTGTTTATTATTTCATTTTGATAAAAAATGTCAAATACTTTCTTTGTTTTTCTTCCTAGTAATGTTTCAGATTATCCGGATAATAGACCAAATAAATTCCGAGTCCATTTACCAAGACCTCTATACTTTTCTGGAGACTGGGTATGTGGTTTGCACAGCATAAGCTATCCATATTCATGGCCTTCAACAATTGGTACTCTTGACGAGCAATGGATTGACATTCATTTTACTAAAAATGATGGGAGGGCTAGTATTATTCGTGTACCAGTTCCTAAAGGTTCACACACCACTGTGGAAGATTTACATCAATTTTTGTTATCTACTTTAGATCACCAAACTGAAGCTATAGAAGGATCATCCTTGGAAAAACCTGAGACATTAGTAAAACCTCCAAGTGTCCGCAGACCTAAACGTAGTGTATCTCCTGAAGGGGACCTTAAAATGCCAACTCGTTCATCATCGGCCGAAGAAGATGAACCACCTAATAAAAAACCTCCTATTAAGACTGCTTCACGTTCATCTTCTGAAGAAGGAGAACTTAGACGCCCAGCCATTTCATCCTCTGCAGAAAGGGAACTAGATTCTTCACAGCGTAGTAAATCTCCTAAACTTACTAAAATAGCTCCCCAAAAACCTACACCACAACCCACTCCACAACCTATACCTCAGCCAACTCCTCAAACTCCAGAACCCACTCCACAACCTCCAAAACCTACACCACAGCCTCCAAAACCTACACCTCAACCTCCAAAACCCACTCCACCTCAATCCACACCACAGCCTCCAAAACCTAGAACACCACCTCCAAAACCTACACCTCAACCCCAAAAACCAACTCCTCAACCTCCAAAGCCCACTCCTCAACCTCCAAAGCCCACTCCTCAACCTCCAAAACCAACTTCACAACCTCCGCCACAAACATCACCACATCCTCCAAAGCCCGCTCCACAACCTCCACCACAACCATCAAAACCTTCACCCCAACCTCCAAAACCCACTCCACCTCAACCCACACCACAGCCTCCAAAACCTACACCTCAACCCCAAAAACCAACTCCTCAACCTCCAAAGCCCACTCCTCAACCTCCAAAACCTACACCACAACCTCCAAAACCAACTCCACAACCCACTCCACAACCTATACCTCACTCAACTCCAGAACCTCTAAAACCTACACCACATCCTCCAAAGCCCGTTCCACAACCTCAACCCAAACCTACACCACAACCTCCAAAACCCACCCCACATCAACCTACACCACAACCTCCAAAACCCCCTCAACATCAACCCAAACCTACACCACCACAACCCACTCCACAACCTCCAAAACCCTCACCACAACCTCCAAAACCTGCACCCCCTCAACCTCAACCCAAACCTACACCACAACCTCTGAAACCTACACCCCCAAAACCAACTCCTAAACCTACTACTCCTCAACTTCCAACGAAACTCACTCAACTAAAATCAACACAACCTTCTTTACCCGTCTCTCTACCTTTGACACAAGATAGCGAAGAAGAAGAATTGAGAGATGCATCTCCCTCATCATCAGCTGAAAGACAATCCTTACCCAGTTCGCCTACACTTCCACAACTCCCAAAGCCTGAAGCTACATTTAGTGATCCTTTATGGACTGAAGAATATGAACGAGTACTTACACATGTACTTTCGACGCTTGGACAGAAAGTAACACCTCAGACAAGAATAAATTATCTTCCAAATATGCCCATCCTTGTAAAAAAATATGGTAAAGTAGGCAAGGTAGACTCGACAACACAAAAACAAATTATAGATTCAATAGAATTATTTTATCATAGCGACTTTGAACGATTTAAAGTCTCATTCACACACCCAAGCATCAAATATGTTTCTTTTTCAAATCAATTAGGTTATGTATTAGGCTTTCAAAATCCAAATATGGTTCAAAATAATGAAATTGCCAAATATGGTTGTGATCTAAGAGGAGGTTTCTCAAGCTTCGCTGTATATTCAAGAGGTCTTACAGAAAGTATGATCATAGGCAATTCACTTAGTTCACTCCTAAGAGTCGTTTCTGTGGCTGGAGCCACCCCAGGACAATATTATGAGAAAATATATGATTCACCAATTTATGCGAGAGTATTACCTAAAGAGGTAAATGAGATTGAGATTGAACTCAGAACGATGGATAACGGTCGACCTGTACCATTTGAATTTGGTACAGTGCTGATCGTCTTGATATTTAAGAAGGTGATAAACTTCTGATTTTTTCATTCATAATTTAAAATGGTGCACATTTTATTTGATACTAGTACTGTAAGCTATGATGACTTTATTCCAATGAAGGGAGGAGGAATTACAGATGACTATTTTAAGGGTACAGCTCCTTTTCAAAGAGGATATGGACAGAAAGGAGCTGGAATTGGAGATGTTATGAGAGGACTTTGGAGATTTTTTCTACCGATTATGCGACGTGTAGGCACGACTGTCTCAGAGGAGGCATTAAATACAGGTCGACGTGCATTGGGAAGGGTAATCCAAGGAGAACCCATAAAAGAAGCTTTAGTCAGTGAAGGAAAGAAGGGAATTGATACAGTGCTTGAAAAAGGAGGTTTACCTAAACAATTTGGATCAGGAAGGGGTATAAAAAGAAAGACAATTCCTAGTCATCAAACAGTTATTAAAAGAAAGATTAAAATCTGACGCTTTTGGTTTTTATTAAAAATGAGTTTCCACAAAATTGATAAAGATAGTATAAATTCTATTACAAATGCTCTTGATTTTTTCCAAGTCCCACCAACAAATGTGAGCATTTCTTCATCCAAGGTCTTTGAAATTTTACCAAGTAATCCTCTCACTGATACACCATATCATTTTAAAATTCATAGTAGTCAAAATTATATCGATCTGTCTAAGATTTATTTATTTACTGAATTTCGTATAAAGAAGGAGGGCGATGATGGAAGATTGGTCAAACTCGCTGCAACTGATAATGTTGCGCCTATACAACTAATAGGTCAAACATTTATAAATAATATGCGAATTAATGTAAATGGTAGGGAAATATTTAATTCAAACTCGCTCTATGCCTACAAGACTTATTTTTCACACGAACTTTCTTATTCTCAAGGGGCAAAAAATTCCCATTTGAACGCTGCAGGATATTATTATGACTCAGACATAAAACTTGAGGATGGCACAGCGTATAATGCAAGAAAAAATTTATTTTCTTCAAGTAAGACGGCACAATTCATTTCGAAACTTGATGCGGATATATTCAACCAACCTCTCTATCTAATAAATCATTGTGAAATCGATATTGAATTACTTCCTAATGACACGAAATTTGTATTGATTGCTCCTCCAGTACTTGGGATTGACCAACCAATTACCTATAATTTTGAAGTTGTAAGCTGTAAGCTATACGTCAAAAAGGTTGATCTTATGGATGGACTCTCTCTAGATATTGCCAGAAAACTTGAAACTAAACCTGCAAGATATTCAATAAGAAAAACGATGATGAAACCGCTTTTCATAAGTCAGGGTAGATATGAATTTAATGCAAACTTGTTCATGGATCAAATTCCTAGAAGAATTACATTAGGTCTAGTTGCAAACTCTGATTATGTTGGATCGATAAATCGAAGCCCTTTCAACTTTCAACATTTTAATGTTAGAGAAATTAGTATTATAGCAAATGGAAGACCATACCCTCAGGCATCTTATGACTTTGATTATAAGAATGGAAGATATGTAAGAGCCTTTCACGACATGAATGAGGCTATTGGTTATACAAATACCTCTGAAAATAATGGAATCACTTACCAACAGTTTGGAAAAACTCACTGCATTTATGTTTTTAATTTGACAAATAGTGGAGATGATAATAGCGGAACATTTGATTTAATAAAAAATGGGACTACTGCCATAAACATCAAATTCAATCAGCCTGTCCCAGAGGGCGGAGTCATGCTCGTTGTTATGGGCGAAGCGGACTCCCTTATAATGCTAGATAAAAACCGGACAATAGCAAGTGACACCACCATTTGAATAAATGAAAGGAATTTTAGTAACTTTATTTTTGATTCGGATATTTGCTCCGTGTGTAGGACTATATAAAGAAGCTATGGATGAATTAGAAGAGATCCCTGAGTATTCAGCCTATCTACGTCAATTAGGATTTCCAAAGAAAAATACAACCCAACCAAGAATATCCGCTTCTATACCAGCCTTTGCAACCTTCCCATTTGAGAATCTACCTACTCTATGTAAAGAAAGCCCTACGGACTTATATGGCCATGTGTTTTGTTGGGGAATGATAGGACTATATATTATGTTAATAGGAAGTTTAATTATTTATCAACTTCGTTCAATTTTTTGGTTAAAAAATTATAATGGACAGCAATCAGATAACAAAAATATTGAGCTCAAATCCCTACACAAACAAAATCTTCCAAGGATGCTTTCCGTGTAACAATCTACCCAAACCTGTAGAAGGCAAAGCATTAATTGTAAACTTGGACCCCAAAGGATTTGCAGGTTCACATTGGATTTCAATTTACGTTCAAGGAAATGAACAAGTAGTCTATTTTGACAGTTTAAATTTACCCACAAGCATTTGTATTATTGATTCATTTTTAAAAGATTTTTCAATTGTTAATAGAAACCTAAAACCATACCAATCCCTAAATTCTAATTATTGTGCCCACCATTGTATTTCTCTTATTTATTTTCTTTCTAAAGGCTATACATTTCCCCAATATCTTAAAATGTTAAACATTGTTCATAACCCAGATTTATTTGTAAAAAATATTGTGAATAAAATTATAAATTATCGAGATAGTTTTTGGTAATATCAGCACATTCTGGACAAAGATAAAAGCGTATGAAAAGGATTTTTCATCCTTGGGTATCATTATATCATCTTGAAATTGGCTCACGACAAAGCTAAGGCAGTCATCACACCATTTTCCTGCGCGAAAGTAATTGATAAGGATGCAAAGCCTTGCTCCCATATCAAGTTGAATGTGTTGTTTTAGAGCATCATTGATTGAATGCACATAGGTTCTTATTTTAAATTCACGATACTCGCGCACTCCCTTAACATAACGTATTATTTCGTCACTTTCTTCACTCATCAATGATTTTTATTTTTATGTGGAATTTATCAAACTAGGTCGCAATTAAATAAAAATAGAATTAGGCCACGCCCTATTTAGATGGATATATAAACTCTAGAATTTTCATTTTTCATTTCAAACATTCACAATGGTTCTTGTTATAGATGAACTTGCACGTTTTCTCGACTGTTCAGTCCGAAGCCTAGGCGGTCATCTAAATATTCCCGAAACAAGAATCCGTATCTTAACAAAATTTTTGGATCGTAAGGTCCGCACAACATATTTGAATAGAGATTTAGAAAAGAAAACGTTTCTATTCGGCGGCCTCACAAGAAAGGGTGCCAACAAAATTCGCGCTTATGGACCTTTAAGACGACCCTATAATGTTAGCATCGCTCAACATTTTTATACAAGACATCGAATTCAACTTAAATATCCTTACCTAAATTGTATTATTGAACGACGATACTGGGATAAAGATCGATTTTATCCAATCGAGCTATTGGAATTTGTTGACGACGAAGATCAACATAAAAGTTTATCATCTGAATTTGAAGAAAAGCTTAGTATCTCTTCACTACCAGATAGCCCTGAAATAATTATGGATAAAGAATTTGAAGAAGAGATGGAGATGTACAGAGGAGATTTTAGTCAAGATGGTTGGTGAACGCACTCTCAACACACGCGCGCACTCTACACACGCACACCCTTTACACAGTGAAAAAGATGAAAATTGATAAAGTTTATCTTCTAATCCTTAATTATGTAATTTTACCCCTAAAATGAACAACTTTATTTATTATATTCTGAAATCTACTACTTTGTTTCACTAATTATGTAAAATCTCCCCTAAAAGCTATGTCTTCATTCTCATAATTTTTTAATCTTTTTAAAATTGTATCTTTGTTTTACTAATTATGTAATTTTACCCCTAAAAATTGTAACTCCTAATTATAAATTTTTTCAAAATTGTATTTTAAAATTTTTATCACAAATAAAAATTAGTTACAAATATTGTATTAAAATTGTGAATAAAATAGTTAAAAATATTTACAAAATATTTACAAAAAAATAGATACGAATAGATAAGAGTGTGGCTTCGCCATTCGACAGGCATCACCAAACTCAACCAGGGACTTGAGAATTTACTCAAGTCCACTACCACCGATTTTACATGCGAGGATTACCTCACAACATTACGATAGTTGGTATAGAGTTTGGGCGCCCATACCCCTGGCTACTTTCCAACTCTTGTAGAATTAAAGCAAAATTCTAGGATGTTTGTCATTGATATGACCAAAGTTTAGAACAATAAAATCAGAAGGGCGGACAATGCCTTTTCCGACATAAGGCTTATAAATTTTTGTACGAGACTGAGTAATTATGGACCCATCTTTAATCGATGGTCTAAGAAAATTAGGGTATGAAATTAAAAGGGGTATATTATCACAATTAATAAAATCAAAAACTTGCTTCTTGAAGTTTTCATAGCACAATCCTTGGTTGTTGATCACATCCCAGTTCAGCGTCATCCCACGGACTTTAAGAACGTAGTCAGGTTCATTGTTGGGAGTAGTCTTCTTTTGAAGTTTCAAACCATATTGCTTTGCCCCTCCAGAGCAATATTCCAAGATGTTGAAATCGGGGTACTCATCTGTAAATTGCCCCAGATGAGGCCCAGGTTGAAGTGGACAATTGTTGTCGGGGTGTGAGAAGATTAGGGAATCAGTGTCGGTGTAGAGAAGCTGACAACCTGGTGTTCTGACAACCTTCTGCATGGCATGCAGAAGGTGAATCCTCGCTGCTGATGTGGTCCAGAGCGAGATGATGACATTTGATGAGTCATGCTCCTCCACCCAATCCTTCTTTTTGATGTAGTTTATAAGTATTACTTCTTCGGTAAGTTCGTCTATTGAATTGATGGTGATAGAAGAGTCGTCGCACATCTTAGCCAATTCATTAGGGTCGTCGGTAATCTTGCATTGTGACAGACCAAAGTTTCTTAAGGAAAATCTTCCCCATAAGTTGTTAAGACACAGTTTCGCCTGTGTCCGTTTCCCTTTGTTGGCCACCATTTTCTCCCTCTCAATCTTAATCCCAAACATTTCCAAGCATTCTTCCATAAATTTATCTTCTTTCAATTTGTCTCCTTTGATGGAGTTGTCGAAGCCAGAAGAGTGAATTTTCTGGGTCATAAATTCACTGATGTAGGGGCTGAAGAGTTTGTCGTCGTAGTTTTTGAACTCCAGAACCCTGAAGAGTTTGGTGACCACATAACCCTCTTTGAGGGCTTCGTTTAATTCAATGGAGGTGCATGTAGATACCCACCCTCTTTTTTGATCTGAATGGGGGCAGCAGTAGTTTTCATTGACATCCCCATGTGGATGCTCTCTAGCACAGGTAGAGCATAGAGGAAAAAGTAGTCGTTCATCTTCATCCTCCCCAATTTTCATAGGGAGGACTGGAATATCTATTTTTCGTGGAGGGATGATGAATAATTTTAGAAGGGAGAGATTGTAGATGTTGTCCTCAGGTTTAGTCCAGTTGACATCTTTGTTGATGACGTGCACTTCAGGATGTCCAACAGGGTACCTCGTTGAAACGTTGATAAATGGGTACAAAGAAGTCACGTCGTAGTAGGAAATTTTTTCTCCTTGCTGTGCAGAATGAAATAGCTTTAAAGGGCCTGTTCTCCCACCATAAAATGCTGACCTAATGTTGATCGGGCCATCATCCAAATAATTTTTAAACATTTTTCTCATTTCAAAATCTTTTGAAACCATTTTCCTAATTTCACACTCCCAATAGACCTCGACATTTACTCCCAAATTCTTGATGAAATTCAAACGTTGTTTGTCCTTCTCTCTTTGTTGTCCAGCTGTAAGTCCAGTTGGAAGTTTAGTGTTGTCGTCTGGGTAGCATTTGATGCAGCCATGCCAGCAGCACCCATTGACTTCAATAGCCAATTTCTTTTCTTTTATCCACCCATCCAATTTATAATTGCCAATTTTCTTTTCGCCATTCTTTGAGCTTGTTGTTCTCACTTCGACATTATTTTTCTCAGCATACCATTTAAGGAAACGGAGTGCCAATAAGCTTTGGTTGTCCACGTTGTCGTATCCTTTTTCAGGTACAATTCCAACATGTTGTTGTTTGAGGTGGTTCATGCGGAAGTGCTTCATACAGGCTGAAGCAATTGTCATGGACTCCCGTAAGACATCCAGTCCATTAGAAACTTCCAGAAATTCTTTTCTGAAGGCGACAAGTGCGGCCATAAGTATTTCAACATCATTTGTACAATAGGATGCTAAAGATTCATTTAAATTGAAGGACTCATTTTTATGTTGTTCATACCATTTATCAAATTGGACCCTTTTCTCAGGCATCATCCCATTGCAAAGGTATTCTTCTTTAGTCGGGAAGATTTCTTTTCTATAATTTTTAGGGTTGTTGGCTAGGTGGGGAAAGAACGGTTTGTCTTCTACTTGAAGTTCAAACGCAGGTACAAGAGATGCCAGAGGCATCGGCATTAGATTATATGTATCATGGAAAATTATCCAGCATTTTTTAGCATTTTTCACCTTCATTTCATACATTTTATTTCCATTCTTTATCATTTCTGGAGTTAGTCCTTGAAGATACAATGCTTTGAAGACTAGGATCATATCAAACCTTCCTCCAAAATGAGAGAAGGCTACTGTATCAATAGAAGAATTGGTTATCCATGCTACAAAATCGGTCAGAGGATCATTGGTAATGTTCTGCTGATCCACTTGAGTGTTGGTGAATGATTGGTGAGAAAAGGTTATTGTTCGATCTTCCTCACAAACTTTGCAATCGTTGTTCAATCCTTTATCAATGCAGCATGGACAATTAATTTTAACTGAGATGAAGTTGACTTCATGCAGTTTTCCCTTTTCTCCTTGTTTGTGCTGCATGGTTTCAAAGTCAAAGGCAATTATCCGGTAAGGTTTTGACTTCTTAAGAGTTAGAGGTTTGATGTAGCAACCTCTTTTAGGGTCGTGGTAGCTGAAACATGTGTTGCAGTAACGTTCTGAGCAAACATGTCCAGTACGTCCGTTTCTGTTGTTGTCTTTTACACTCCATATTACTCCGCATTTCTCACATTTTTTGGAGTTGCTGCAAAAGTTTGAGGTAGAATGGTATTTATAACAGTCCTCATTGTTGAATTTCTTATCACAACCAGAGCATTGATTGAAGAAGTCTGATGGTTGACATGGGTAGTTTGGGCCGATCCTAGAACAGTTTTGACACTTTGAAGTACAAGATGTAGCGTGGTCATTTTGTCTATGATAAACTTTTTCACAGGCAAGGCAATAAGGCTTACCAAATAAATCACTTGCCTTTCTAACTCCATCAAAATGATTATTAATAAAATAAAGAAGAATTGGAGTATTATAATTTTTAGGCCCATATTTAAAAATAGGTTTTATACCCAATTCTCCAAAAATAAAAATTTTAAATCCACCTTTATTCAAAGAATTCCAATAGTCAACAACTTTGGGCGCCCATTCCATTGCATCATAGGTAGGAAGACCAGAAGGAGCTCCAATTTTATTCATTAATTCTTTAGCATCATTCTCGAGAAGATTTGCCATGCCATACCTGTTGTGTATGTAGTTATAGAATTTCCATTTTGGCCAAGATGATGTTGAGAATATGTATGTAGCAGCTAATGAGCGAAATAAGCAGTAGTTATCAGAATTAATAATTTTAATAAGGTTATGTTGTTTAATCTTATGTTGAATTGTCGTCGAAGCTTTACCACTTCCTTGAATGATCCGTGTAGTTTGAAGATTCTTTTTATCGATGCATGTAACGGTAACATTAAATGGCTCACCCCATAGCATGCCATTATCTTGCTTCTTGGATTGCGCCACCTTGAGGAATTGGTTAAGTATGGCGTCTATAGTGTTGTTATTTATGTCCCTGATCGGGATCCAGATGTCAGTTTCCAATAACTGACTGCTTATTGTACAACCAAGTTGATCTGGATCAAGTTGATGATCGTGGCTCGTTTCTAGGGTCTGATCAATACATTTTTGAAAAATTTCCTTTAGTAATCCCTCTGGTTCATCGGGCAAACCAGATATTAAAAATTTAGTAGACAGTTTGGTAAGGTTAAATTTCTGGGTGATCTTGGTTTCTTCCCCCAGATGTTTAAAAAGATCACCTCCACCTGACTGCAACTCAAGTAGATTGTTGATCATGAAAAGGCGTGATCGTTTTGAAGGTGGTGGAGTCATTTTAGAATATAATCAGTAGTTGAATAAAAATCCAAAACTTTTAAATTATTTTTAGAATGAGGAAAAATCCTAAAAACTTTGATTTATATATATTTTATTTGACCAATTTTTATTTATTTTCACTTTTCCACGCCTACTTTTAATAATTTTTTGAAATAATTTTCACATGATGTATTTTTGATCTATTTTCACTTTTTATCATTTCAACGCCTACGTTTCTAAATTTTACCCAATTTTCACTTTCAATAATAATTTACAATTTTTCTCGTGCATGACCTATTTTCTGGCCTATTTTTGTTGCAATTATTGCATAACTGATTTTTATATATTTTCACTTTTCAACGCCTACTTTTATAAATTTTACCCAATTTTCACTTTTCAACATCAATTTTCATTTTTTCACTAATATTTTTGCATGACCTATATTTTGACCTATTTTTGCTGCAGTTATTGCATGACTGATTTTTATTATTTTCACTTTTCAACGCCTACTTTTTAGTAATTATTATATTTTTCAAAAAATGAATTTAAAAATGGATAGAAAAGGTATAGAGAAAAGAGAAAAGATTGAAAAGGTTTTTCTTTAATTATATTTAAAAGTTCATTTTCAAACCGTTTTAAATTTACTTCTGAACCATTGAAATTTTGGGAACAATTTGATTATGAAATTTTGTGATAAATATTGGGAATGGGTTGGTGAAGTGTTTTCTTTAAAAGTTCACACCAAACCGGTTTGATCAAAGTACGCTTTTGGAAACTCCTTGAAACCTTGACGACGGAATGACTGTATTTTAAATACCGTTTAAATATGTGGGAGGGGCTAAATGGTTGGACCCCGCTGCCCCCGCGACTTATACGCCGGGTTAACTACTTAACTTCATTACATTACAAATGACTAATTCACAATAACACGATAAAAAGAATTTTAACATTTTTCCAGCCGCCGCACCTTCTTTTCACGGCCACTTTAATTCTTTGCATTCTACACCGAAATTTTGTCCAAAGGCCACCATTAGCTCATTGATCTTTATTACACGACTAATTTCAAATGTCTTCACATCTTCCTTATCAACATTATAAAGACAGACCACCGGCTCCTGTTCGATTTTCATCATCCTCTTCATCGTCTTCTTCCACAATGGCCACGCCGAGAGTGCATCCAAGCGTCTATGAGTCGGCAGCAATTCATACAAAGGTTGAGACGTCAGAGACTGGTCTCTTTGGATTTGGAAACAATGACAAGAAAAAATCAAAGAAGAACAAAACTACTTTTGGAAAGAGTAAATTTATAATTTATTTGATTTATTTAATTAAATTGTTTGCAGAGAACAAAGAAAAGGAGAAGATGATCGACAAACCTATCATTTCGTTGCCATCTGATTTTCAGCACACGGTAAAATTTTTTGAACTGTGTTTTTAAAAATGTTCTTATAGGTCCACGTCCGGTATGACCCGGAGACTGGCGAATTTACCGGAATGCCTAAAAGCTGGGAGTTACTTTTGCAACAAAGCCAAATTAGCAAGCAGGAACAACAACAAAATCCTCAAGCTGTTCTTAATGCCTTGAAATATTTTACTCGTGGTGAAGGTGGTGGACAAAAATGGTTACAAGCTAGTAATTCGTCCTATGACTCTTCTCCACTTCACTCAATTTTCGAACATCAAGTATCGCTTCAGTCTAATGGTTCACAAGAACAACATTCTTTTACACATAGTGGAAATAAACATTTGGCTCATACACTTAGTTATTGTACTGGATCATTGCCTCTTTCGCCTAAACGCAATGGTTCATTGAATTCTGGTGGCCAAGGTTATTAAAGGAAAATAAGATAATAAAACCTATTATTTCCTAGATCAATGGAGTGTAGTGGAAGCAGAAAGAGTTGGGCAAATGTCTGAATCAGCTGCAACTCGGAGCAGTATGCCACCAGTAATATCTTTTTTTTGTTTTAAAATAAATCATTAAAATGACAGGGCTATTCTCCTCCTTCAGCTCCACAGGAACCCGATGAAAATATTAAAGGTGATGATAAACCTCCGCCTCCAATTCCAGAAAGACCACAAAAAACCTTGTCGATTTATACAAAACCACGTGAGGAGGAGGAAGAAATGGCTGAAACCCGTCGTGATCCTTCAGATTATTTAATTCCCAATGGGCAGTTTGGAAGAAGAAATGCTGGACCAAGACGACGGCCTACAGATGCTGAAGTACTTGTTAAACTCAAAACTGTATTTTTGTTTTTTCAAAGAAAAATTTAAAAAATCTTTTCAGATTGTGAGTATGGGGAATCCTGATAAAAAATATCAAAAACAAGAAAAAATTGGATCTGGAGCTTCTGGTTCTGTATTTACGGCCATTGAAGTAAATACTGGAGCGGAAGGTAAATTGAATGATTTTAATAGGAAAAAAGTAATTATTTTTAGTTGCTATAAAACAAATGAATTTGAGTCAGCAACCAAAGAAAGAATTAATTATCAATGAAATTTTAGTAATGCGAGAAAATAAGTAAATAAATATTTTTAAAAAAATTTTCTAAATTTTTAACTTCTCATTTATAGACATCCAAATATTGTAAATTATTTGGACTCCTATTTAGTTGGTGGTGACCTTTGGGTTGTAATGGAATATTTGGCAGGTGGTTCTCTCACAGACGTGGTTTGTTTCTAATTAATTTTATGATCGCTATAAGAATATATTTATTCTAAAGGTAACTGAATGCCAAATGGAAGAAGGAATGATTGCGGCTGTTTGCCGTGAAGTGCTCCAAGCATTAGATTTTCTCCATTCCCGACATGTCATTCATCGAGATATAAAATCTGATAACATTTTACTTGGAATGGATGGCTCAGTTAAACTTACGGATTTTGGATTTTGTGCTCAAATTTCTCCAGAACAGAATAAAAGGACAACGCTCGTTGGAACGCCTTATTGGATGGTATGGTTATGTTTTATGTAAATATTTTAAGAATTTTTAGGCGCCAGAGGTTGTATCTCGTCAACAATATGGTCCAAAAGTGGATATTTGGTCGCTTGGAATTATGGCTATTGAAATGGTGGAGGGAGAACCACCTTATTTGAATGAAAATCCTCTTAAAGCTATTTATTTGGTTAGTTTAAATTTTTTTTCTAATAAATAAACTACTTTTAAATTGTTTTTAAATTTTTAAGATTGCCGCTAATGGTCGTCCAGATTTTCCAAGTCGTGAACAGATCTCACCCCTTTTCCGTGATTTTATTGATGCTTCATTAGAAGTGAGTTTAATTTTCAAGTGAGGGATTGAATTTAGTTTTGGAACATGACCTTTATAGGAATATTCCTAAGTAATAATTTGGGGGAAAATTTTATCCAAAAAATTCTAAATCTTAAAATGGTCGAGTTTTAATCATGGATTTATGTAAACATTATAAATATTCGTTTTAAGGTTGATGTAAATTCGCGTCTCTCTGCTAAGGAACTATTACGACATAATTTCCTTAAATGTGCCAAACCTTTAAATGGATTGCATTATTTAATCGAAGCTGCAAAACGTTCAATAGCAAATAGTGGTTAAAAGAAGTTTTAAAAGATTTATTTTACCCTTTAAAAACTGTTTGTATTTTTGGAAACAAATTACCTATTTAACCATTTTAATCCAAAAATCATCGAATTCCTCATATTTGTAAGCCTTATTCTTCCTAACGTTTGTTCGGGTCCTTTTACTTAATTCATCGACATCCAACTTTGATTTTTGTCTATATATAAATAATACATTCAAATATATTTGTTCATTTACTAGGTCGGTTCATAAAAAAGTTCGTTTTACATAAATGGTTGTAGAATTTTTTCTAGATGTTCAAAACCTTTGAAATTTTGCATAGTTATTCATTCAAGTGTTTCCTAATAGATCCCAAAATTTGAGAATTTTTGGTTCGGTATTCAGGGAGTTGTGGTCGGAAACATCGAAAATCTGAAAACCATCGGGGTTCGAGCCCTCTCAGGCATATGTAATTGTAATATCTATTGTAATATATCAATCGAAAGCTCTTAAAAATCTCTATCAAGGGGGCCTAAGTGCCGAATTTTTCATAAACGGGAATGTCGATTTTCAGAAATGTCGAAATGTCGAATTCCGGGTTAGACACAAGTTACAGACTTTATTCTTCGTATTTAGTCATAAATCATATATTTTATGTACAAAACCGTTTAGATCATCAAGATCGGATGATTTTACGCAAAGTTAGAAAAAACACTTTTTTGGGGGGATGTGTAACATAGTTTTCGACAACAACTTTTTAGGAGATTAGAACTCCCTGAATACCGAACCAAAAATTCTCAAATTTTGGGGTCTATTAGGAAGCACTCAAATGAATAAATATGCAAAAATTCACAGCTTTTGAATTTCTACAAAAAATTCTATAACCATTTTTGTAGAACGAACTTTTTTATGAACCGACCTAGTATTTGAATTTTGCTCATTCCTTACCAATTTTTAAAAAAGGTTTTTCATCCAATTTTATTCACGATTTATGTACTTAGAAAATTTTAAAAATTTATTTACTTAATTTTTTTGTTTTAAATAAAAGTATAATTTTGTTTAATTTTTAAGGAAATGTTTTGTTAATTTTTGGTATTAAAATCAGTATCTTCCTCCTCACCGCTTGGCTTTAAATATACATAAATCTTTTTCCCTCTACTGACAAAGAGATAAAATAATTATATTTATACATATGCAAATTACAATTTGTTTAAAATATACAATCTAAGGATAAGGTCCATCAAAATCCATTAGCACCAATTTTGTATCTTCTGTTCCATTTCTTGAACCAACTGCACAAACAAGCATTGTAGGGGTTGCTTTCATTCTAACAAAAATTGAAAATTTATTATTCATATTCGAACATTTTACCTCCAAACACAACCTCCAGCACCACTAGACGGCAATTTAATTAAGTCGCAAATAAAACTTCCTGAAAAGCCAGAAAAGAATATATTAACTAGCACAAAGCTTTAATTAAATTATTTCTAATAAATTTTGACAAAAAGCTCTAATTTTCAAAGGTTAAAGGTTCTTTTGGTTTGGCTCTATTTAATTTAGTTTATTAATGTAAACCAGAATAATTTTCCATTATTTTTTATTTCCTCTTTAACCAACCTTCTTCAATATCCCACAATTTTACAGTTCCATCATCTCCACTTGTAGCAATCATTCCATTATCGAGAAATCTAAAGCCTGTCACAGCTGAAGCATGTTTATTTGGCCCGGCAAGTGTGTGGATACACGTTCCATCTAAAATATTCCAAACCTAAAAATATTTGAATAAAAAGATTTTTTAAAATGTAAACTCAAAAAAATCTCCGTTTGGATGCCCCCCCTCCCTCGTTTAATCAAAAATTTACTTTAATTGTAGAATCAGCATTAGCCGAAATTAATTTATTTCCTCTCAATTTCATTCCAGAAGTTAAAGATTGATGCCCAACAAGTGTTTGACTTAAAAAAATTATTTAAAAATATTTTTTTAAACCTACAGGCATTCCCCTGTTTTTACATTCCAAACTCTAATTGTTGTATCAAGAGAACCAGAAATAACCAAATTACGTTCTTTAACAAACTAAAAAAATTTTTTTTGTCAAAATTAAAAATTAATTTTTCTAAAAAAATACGTGTAACGAATAAACTCTGTGTGTATGGCCCTCCAAAACATGTTCTAAAGTCCCATTTTCAGCATTCCAAACATGTATTTTATGATCATAACCACCAGAAACAACTGAGGAACCGGCATATTTAACACATCTAACGGCCGCTAAATGACCAATAAATGGACGAATACAACGACCTTCTTCGATATTCCACATTCTAATTGTACAATCACGAGAACCTGTTACCAAACTAAAATAAAAACAAAATTGAATCGAAAATATGCTGATTATGGAAGATCTCCCAATCCTGAAAACTAATTCTGGTTACTTTCCTTTCAGGCTCTTTTCCTCTTTTTTAGAGGAGAAACGAATTTCTCCTTGATGAGAGGAGAAAGAAGTAAAAGGGAAAAGACAAAAATCTGCGGACATGTAGGGGATATAAACGCATAAACCCCAAAAAAACTAAATATTTACATATTTCCAGATAAAGACATGCATCTAACAGTACTAGAATGTCCATTTAAACAACGCATCAAAACACCAGTTTCAACATTCCAAACTCGAACTAAAAATAAACAAAAGAAACTTTTATTTAAATTTAAAAAACCAGTCCTATCAGTAGAACCGCTAATAGCAATTTTTCCGTCCTCAGATAATTGGAGTGCCCAAACACCTCCAGTATGTCCAGTTAATACTTGTGTACACTCTCCCGTCCCTACAGACCAAACTCTTAAAGTACAATCATCAGAACCAGTTACAAGACGATCACCACGTAATTTTAAACAAGTTATTACCTTTAAAAATAAAATAATTTTGCTTAAAATATTTACATGTTCATCATGTCCTCGTAAATGACAAATTGCATTTGGACGTCGAAAACGCCAATTATTAGAAATATGTTGATTTCTTAAATAAATAGCCTTCCATTTAGATCTTTCCAAACAAGACGGTAAATTTAATTGTGAAAAGTGTAAAGAAGATGAAGGTGATTGGAATAAAGATTTACAAAAAGATGAAGAAATTTTTGAAGAAAAAGATGAATCTCCGTCAAAATAATGGGGGGATTCTTGTGGAGAATCGACTAGTCCAGCAGAAAACAACGCCCAATTTTCCCTTCTAGCAAGACTTTAAAAATTTGTTTAAGAAAAAAGAATATTTTTTAAAAAAACTTTGGAGGGAAAATTTCTTTAATATTATATTGAAGACATTTTTTCATCCAAAGAATGTGATCCTCGGCAAGATGACGCCATGTACGTGAAATACTTGCAGAAAGCACCAAGTCTTTAGGAGACAAGTAGCTAAGAATTTTGAATGAAAGCTTTAAAATAAAATGAAGATAAAAAATAAAATTAAAAAAAACCTCTTTTGGAAGAAGACGAATGAAATCAATTTGAAAATATGGAGCAATTAAATTATGTAAATGCCTAATTTGGTATTGTTTACAAGTTGGAACGAGGGAATTGAGTGCTTCGAGTTGAAGAGATTCGGGCATATTCTTTTAAAAAATTAAAAAGTTTTGTTCAAAAAATATTTATTTTATTACCCCAAAAATTGATAGCCATTCTGTTATAGTTGGATCGGTTTTGAATTTAGTAGTCCTAAAAAATAAATTTTTTGATCAACTATAAAGGAAAGGAATAATATTTCTTTAAACATTTTTGCATAATTTCTTCCGTTAATTTTCTTTTACTTGCCCTTTGGCCCTCGAGTCATTTTTGTTGAAGATGTACAAATGGTAAGTGAATAGTGAAATCATAGAGCTCATCGAGTTGAGTCCCCCAGGATCGGTCTGTGATACTTATCTGAGCTGAGTTACAGGGGTCCAAAAATGTCCAAAAAAGATTTCGGAATTACAATAAATAAATATTATTGCACTAAATTTTAAAATAATTTTTAAAAAGTCCTTTTTGCTTTTCTCTATTTTGATTGACAAGAAAAGGAAATTTAAGGAAGAAATTATAGTAATATTTTAAAAATATAATTCAATCCTCTTCCTTTATAGCAAGGCCAGCTTTTTATTAATGTTTTTAGAAATACCTCTCAAATTGAACAAATTTTTTCTTTGAATCAGTAATCATTTGAATTTTTGCTATATCATTACTTCTTTTCTAAAAAATCAAAATAAAAATTTAGTATATTTATTAAATAAAAACTCGTTGATTTTGTTGTAATGTATCCTTTTTAAAAATATTTTCACTCATAAAATCAAAAGAATAATTAATAAGTCTTTAGCGAATTTTAAAAATCAGAAGTTGAAGCATTCTAAAAAGATGACACACTTATTCTGGTTGAAAATGTTCTAAATACTAGAGTTGTACCCCGACCCCGTACCCCGAACCCCGACCCCGTTCCCGAACGATTTTTTCACGATTCTCCCCGACCCGAACCCCGCCCCGAAAAAAAGTGAAAACCCCGTTCCCCGGCCAAAAAAATTTCGGGGTTATCGGGGTTTTATACCCCTAAAAAATGTCATTTTTTGGAGAAATTAATGGAGAAAATTTAAAAAATTTCCACCCATTTTACTTTACTTTTATTATTTGTGAAAGAAAAATGAATGAAATATCATAATTTTCTTTCCTTCTTTATTAAAAGACTTGTGGTTGAGTGGCTTAGTCGGTGGTTTTAGCCGATATTTTGTTAATATAGGAGTGGGTTTGGATCCATATAAGGAGAACTCTATAGTTTTTATATTTCTTTACAAAAACAAATTATTAACGAGTTAAATTTTAATTTGAAAATATTAATTTTATTTTTAACTGATATCCCTTGAACCACCTTTAATCCTTCAACCCCTGTATCAGAGGAGGGTCGAAATTCCGATTTCCGACGTTTTTTTCTTGCCGATTTCCGAAATTTTGGAAAAATTTCCGATTTCCATGAATTTTTAAGGCAAATTTCCGACGAAGATTTTTCCAATATTTTCAAAATTTTCGCCTGCGGCGTAAAAAACGGAAGAAATCTGGCTTCTAGCCTTCTATAATTCTCAAAATTTTCGCATGCGGTGCAAAAAATGGAAGATTTTTGCCTTAAGGATCTTCCAAATATTCAAAATTTTGCCTGCGGTGCTGTTAATGGGAGTAATCGGAGGATTTAATCCTTAAAAATCCCACTTAATCCCTCCAGATCCACTTATATCCCAAGTTATACACTTTAATCTCTTCAAATCCCCTCTAATTTCTTCAAATCCTACTTAATTTTTGAATAAATCAACGAAAATATATCGATTTCTAATTATTTTTGAGCATTTTTTTCTCTAAAAATTTTTCCACTAAACCCCCGTACCCCGACCCGAACCCCGGCCATATTTTGCTCCCCCGACCCGAACCCCGCCCCGAAACAATTGGAAAACCCCGTACCCCGACATACCCGCCCCCGAGCGTTCGGGGTACAACCCTACTAAATACTTATTAACATTATTTAGTAATTCACGAAAATCAGATGTGGGCGCATTGCGTTATTTGCGCCAATTTTTGTCGTTGCGTTTTGCGGAAATTTGCTAAAATAACGCCACAAAAAAAGGTGCAATTCTGGCTTATTGGGCTAGAATTCCAAAAAGTGATATTTAAAAGCTACTTTTTTTTATTGGATGGATAAATATTAAAACAATGATAAAAAATTTTAATTTTGCGTTGTGTTTTCTGAAATTGGTTTTGCGCTCACCCAAATTGAATTGCACGAAAATTATCCACAATAACGGTGGATTATGATTGGGTCATTTTTTATTTTTATTTTTTAATTTACTACATATTATCATATTAAATGTTAAAGTACATTTTAAACTCGTTGATATATTTTAGAATGTACAACAAAAAGTAAACTGTACGAGGTACTTTTCCAGAAACAGGGAAGTACTAATTACGAGATATCAATTATTCTTTCATACTGTTTTTCACATTATTGGAACCTATATTTATTAGATTTACAGATTTTTTGCTAGTTTTATTCGAATTTTTATTTATTTTAAAGTATGTCAGAATATGTTGAACCAAATCCGGAACCCGGCAAATTTTATCGTGGATTGATTCAACAATTTGGGTTTGATTGTTTTATAATTTTATAATTTCTTCAAAATTTTTTAGAGGACCAAATGCAAAGAAACTCGACAAGAATGACATTCTCGAGCTTAACCGTCTTTGCGCTGAAAATAAATGGGACATGGTTTTTTTAATAAAAATAGATGGTCATGTTTTTTTTTTAAATTTAGGTCAACAATGTGCCACGTTCTTTTTGGCTTATGAATGCTAAGGATAGAGCGATTGCTTACAAAATATGGTTTAAAATGGTTTTTAGTTTATTTTTAAAATTTTAATTTAATTTTTTTAGGATGTTCGCAATCCTTATATCGAGGCGAAGATTTTTCCAGTACTTCACAAATGGCCGAGAGCTACTCCATATATTATCGCTAATCGTTTCATTGTGATTACTGCAATGTTTTTTATAGGTATTTGTTTGTTTTTATTAAAACTTAAAAGAAAGGATTCGAAAACCTTTTAATCTTTTAGTCTCCTATTAATGTTTGAGACAAAATAACAAAAATTCCTAAACTATTTATTGTTTTTTTTTCCATTTTTCTGTGTTGTCTATTGATCTCATTAATTAAAAAAGGACATTTTTAAATTTATTTTAAACGTCATTTTTTATAGTTCCGAAAATATATGAATGGGTTGTTCCGGCAAGTTATCGCTGCAAATATAATCCAAATGTTTGAAGATTATCTCAAATTAATGCTTTAGGATTTTTCTTGTATTTAAATTTGTTGATAAATGTATTTGATTTATTTTATGAATTTAATCGTTAATTTTGTTATTTTCACAATTTAAAATATATACTTACAATTTCACTTATAATATTAATTTTTTTATGTTTTCAAGAAATGTTAGCTTCTGAAGATATTGACCCTCTAAATAATTCTGACATTAATGACCAACAAGAAATATTTTCTGAAATAATTTCAAATGACAAATCTGATAAAAATGGAGATATAAAGGTTTTATTTTGTTTAATATTATTTAAGTATTTGAGGATTCCACAAATGGTGATCAACCTGCATTGGATGGGGAGCTTCAAGTTGACATCTCTGATGCTCTTTCTGAACGTAATAAAGTTAAATATACAGTCCATACAAAAACGACATTTCCTGAATTTTCAAAATCTGAAATTTCTGTCGTTAGGGAGCATGATGAGTTTATTTGGCTTCACACATGTTTGGAAGACTGCGAAGAGTATGCCGGGTTTATTGTAATTTTCTATATTTATTTTTTAATCATCTTTTAAATTGAGATTCCGCCAGCACCTCCGAGACCTGATTTTGATTCTTCTCGAGAAAAACTTCAAAAACTTGGCGAAACTGAAGCTACAATGACTAAAGATGAATTTTCTAAAATGAAGCAGGAACTTGAACAGTTACTATTTAAATTTAAATTATTTTTTTAAATTTAATTTGTTTCAGAGAATATTTGGCACTTTTTAAGAAGACCGTTGCAATGCATGAATTTTTCTTATGTCGATTGGCAGCGCATCCAGTTTTTCGTAAAGACTCAAATTTTAGAATATTTTTAGAATACGAACATGACGTAAACTTATTTTTGTAGTTTTTATTTAGAAATTTTTGCAGCTTTCTGTGCGTGGTCGAAATAAAAGGGAAGTTTTTGGTTCGTTTTTCAAACGTTTTACTCAAACTGCTGACGAGGTGCTACTTTCAGGACAGGTAATTTACTATGTATATGATTTTAAATTTACATTGACTAAAGACTTTAGTCAATCTAGAGAAGGAGTGAGTGGGAATATTTTAATCTTAAACAAACTGATTTCACATTATAATACTTAAAAGTTCAATTTGTTTTATTACAACATTCATTGCCATGCGTTTTGATTTTCCCCTCTCTTACTAAATAAAAACATAAAGATTACAAATTCATTTCCTTTTTTTAAAAAAATGTTTTGCTTTTTCATAAAATAAAAATTTTAAATAAAAATTACAGAAAGACGTCGACGATTTCTTTGAAAGCGAAAAGAATTATATGCTTGAATATTCTACTCACATTAAAGAGGCGATGATTAGATCTGATAAAGTTTGTCGACTTAGACAAAGTAAGTGTTTTTAATTAAAAAAATTTTTTTTAAATAAATTTATTTTTGGAATTGTTTTTTTTTCTAAAAATTAATTTAGTTAATTAAATTTAATTAAATTTGTCACTTTTTGTTTGTTCTATTTTTGGCTGGGAAATTTATAATAGTAATCAATGTATAGACAACTCTTCTTCATGTGTTCCTTTTTCCTCTCTGTTCGATCATCTTTTTTCCCTTTTTACTTTTTCCGTTTAAAATAAAGAAAAAAATTTTCGGAAATGATTGGTAAACTGGAAATTATGTGTGTAAATACTGAGAAAATAAATTTAAAAAATATTTATTTTACGCAAATGATTTTTAGTTTCATTAATTAATTTAAAAAAACTTTAAATAATAATTCTATAAATATATTAATTTTGATAAATAAAATACAGACGTTGCTGATTCTTACACGAGAATTGCACATGGATTGGAGAAATTCGGACAATTGGAGGGCGTTGGAGGTGAAAAGGAATTTGGACGTTTTCTGATGAGAACTACCGAATTATTTGAGAAAATGAAGAAGGCAGAATCTCGCGTTGGAACAGATGAGGAATTGAAAGAGGCGGATACTTTTCGTTATTTTGTGCGTGAATCTCAGGCAGCGATGGTGAGAAGAATTTTTTGAAAAGAAAAACATCTCTAATAATTTACTTAAGGATCTTCTCTATCGACGTCGTCGTTGTTTAGCCAATTATGAAGCGGCTAACAAAAATTTGGAACGATGTCGTGCCAGAAATCGTGACATTCAAAAGGCGGAAAAGGAGCAAGAAGAGGCCTGTAAAAAATTCGAGGATATTAGCAAATTGGCAAAAACCGAGTTGTTGGAGCTTAAAAATACTCGAATTTCGGCATTCAAAAAGAATTTAGCTGATCTGGCTGATCTTGAAATTAAACAATCAAATGTTTGTTTTTTATTTAAATATCAGATTATTTCTTTTAAGGCTAAAATTTCCCTTCTCCAAAATGCACTTCGATCTCTTAAATCTACAAGTGAAGGGGAGGGACCTTCAACGACCCCAGCCGTTTAAATTACAACAGAATTAATTGATATGCGTGCATAACTTTATTATTTTTTATATTTATTTTTGGTTATTCTTTTCAATACAACATGCTTATTTTGATCAAAATGGGAAATTCCATTTTATTTTTTAAATTTTATATTATTGTTTTTCTCCTTTTACAGACTTAAAAATTTATAATTTTTGTACAATAGTTACAAAAATTTAAAGACCTAAAAATATAATCTACATAAATATATATATAAATTCTATAAATAACTTATTTACATAATTTTGCATAAAAACGATTTTCTTTTTTTTCTCAATCATAAATAAATGCTTTAAAAATACATTAAATTTATTTTTATAATTAAAAAAATAATGTTTAAATAATTATTTTAGTTGTAAGATTAAATGGCAGCTGATTCTCAAAATGTTGGAGCACATTGGCCTGGTAATAAAGATGTAAAAACTTTTATTTTTTCTCACTTATATTTACATATTTGAAGGACTATGTTTTGCAAGATGCGATAGGAGTTGGAGCAACAGCGACAGTTTACAGAGTACGTGGGTTGTTAAAATATAAATGTGTTTTTTGGGATTGTGGAATGGGACAATTCCTGACCTGTTAGACGTGTACATTGTTTTATATAGCTGATATCGATATGTATGTATATCATTGTCCCCCCTTTCTAACAACATAAACGATTTATCTTTTCCACGCTTTTAGTTCTAAATTATATTTTAAAGATTTTAGAGATTCTAAGTATTTTTTAAATTAAGGCGCTTTGTAAACCAAGAAATGAACTTTGTGCCATAAAATGTATAAATCTTGAAAAATGCCAAACATCAGTTGATGAACTTTCACATGAAATTCAAGCAATGTCTTTATGTTCGCATCCAAATGTTGTCAATTATTATACTTCTTTTGTTAGTTTTCCTTTTTAAATAAATTTTTAATTTAATTTTAAGGTTGTTGGTGAAGAACTTTGGGTAGTTATGCGTCTTCTAAGTTGTGGGTCTATGTTGGATATTTTGAAAAGAAAAATTAAAGTTTGTGATTTTTTATTATTTTTAAAAACATTTTTTAAAATTTTTAAAGGCTATGGGTAAAGATAATGCTGCTTATGGTGTTTTGGATGAAGTTACAATTGCTACAATTTTAAAGGAAGTTCTTAAGGGACTTGAATATTTTCATAATTCTGGACAAATCCATAGAGATATTAAAGCTGGTAAATTATTATTTGATTTTTAAAATATTTTTATTTTTAGGTAATATTTTGTTGGCAAATGATGGGACTGTTCAAATTGCTGACTTTGGTGTTTCTGGTTGGTTAGCTGCTAGTGGAGGAGATTTATCTAGACAAGTTCACTTCTTTTTTATTAATTATAAATAAAATTTGTTTTAGAAAGTTCGGCATACTTTTGTTGGCACGCCATGTTGGATGGCACCAGAAGTAATGGAGCAAGTGGCCGGTTTTTTAAAAACGATTTTATAATAAAATTAAAAATGATTTTTTAAGGCTATGATTTTAAAGCAGATATTTGGAGTTTTGGAATTCTTTGTATTGAACTTGCTACTGGAACTGCTCCATATCATCGTTATCCTCCAATGAAGGTTCTTATGCTTACTCTTCAAAATGATCCTCCAACTTTGGAGACAAATGCTGAACGTAAAGATCAGTACAAAGCGTGAGTTGTTTTTTTATTTTTAAAAAAATTGTTCTAGAAAGATTACTAAATAAAAATGGTAATAAAAGAGATTAAGCTTCACAAAAAAATTTGAAAATTCTTTCTTTAGAAAATAATTTTTATATTTTTTAAAGTTATGGAAAAAGCTTTCGAACTATGATAAAAGATTGTCTTCAAAAGGATCCAACTAAAAGGCCAAATGCTTCTGAATTACTTAAATATTCCTTTTGCAAAAAAGCCAAAGATAAGAATTGGTTAGTTCATTCACTTATTGAAAATATTGGTGCTGCACCAATACTCCCTACTTTACCAAAGAAAGTTCAAAGTGGAAAATTAAAAAAGGATAAAGATGGAAATTGGGAATTTGAATATGACACACCAGGGAATGGAGATTCTGATGGATCGTCTGGAGAACATTCTGAAAATGATAATGCAACACTTCGTCCAAGTAAAACTGTGGATAGACCAGGAGTTTCTGAAGGATCAACCAATGCTCCAAAAGCATTAAATCTTGTAAGCGAAATTAATTTTTTTAATTAAAATTTTATTTTGACTTTTTGGGTTCTTCGTGTTCGTAATCAGCAAAGAGAATTAAATGACATTAAATTTGACTATTCGCCAAGTACTGACACAGTTGATGGGTATTTTAAGTAAAATAAAATTTTAATTAAAATATTTTAAGCATTGCCCATGAACTAGTCACTGCCGAATTGATTGATGGACATGATTTGGTTGTAGTTGCTGCCAATCTCCAAAAACTTATTGATGCAGCTCAAAATAAAGTAGAAAGGAGAACGATTACTTTTGCACTAAATTCTGGTGTTGCGACTAACGAAATCCCGGATGAGCGCTCATTAACAGGATTTGCTCAACTTTCTTTAGTTGAGTAGAGAAGACAAAATATTAAAAAATTGACCTTTTTATTCTAAATTTTTTTGATTTTTATGTTTAATTTTCAATACATTCTACTCTGTTCCTGCTTTGAATTTTAAAGATTTTTCTTTACGAATTAAAGACTTGGAAGATTTTTATGTTAGTCCTTTTAAGGAACATTACAGTTACAAAATATTACCCCGATTTTATTTTCAAACCGAAAAATTAAAACAAAAACAACCTTCTCATGTAAGGACAAAGTAATGTATTGCATATTTTATATAAAAATTTTTCTGCCATATGCACTTAAAAAATGTTCCTCTGCCGATAGCTTATAAACGTTGGTCGAAATTTTAAATAAATTTTGACAAAAAATCCTTTGAAACTTTAAAATAATAAAATTTCGACTATCAATCTTCAAATTCGCATTCTTCTCTTATTAAAATATTATTAAAGAACTTATTTCTTCATACTAATAACTATTCTATAATGCTACATTTTTGCTTTTGTCTATTTCTTAAATCTTTCGCTAATTACAAATCTAATTAGTTTTTATATTTGTCTGAAAATAAGATGGTTATTTTTTTTGCCTTATAATCATTTATTTATTTCCCCTATTAGTTTTAATATTCTGTTCAAATGTAATTTAACTAAATATTCTATAAAATGACATGTATTCCGTTAATAAAATATAATTTTTAACGAAAATTAAACAGCTTTTAAAATGTATATTCTCTAATTTATTAAAGAATTTAAAAAATAAATTGAATTTAATCCAATCAGGTTAACCACAAAGCAATGTATTCAAATGAAGCCATCAAAATAATATTAAAATATAAAATCAAAATTTGAAATCCTTATATTTTTTTGAAGATGAAGAACTTGACGGAGCACCACTTGATGCTGCCTTTTTCTGCTCTTGAGCTTTTCGCTTTCTCTAAAAATTTTAATTTATTTTTTATTAAAAATATTATTTTTCAAACATTTTGTCTAGCTGCATGTTCAGCAACCATATCAGAAAAGTCTTCTTCATTTTCCATTCTTATACGATTTTGTTTGCGTAATTGTTCCTCATATTTACGTTCTAAACCACCTTGATCTTCTAATTCCTCGGGTTGTAGAGATACCTCAACTCCTTCATTCGGTTCTGGCATTTTTCGACTCTAAAAATATTTTTCTCAATTCAAAACAAAAAAAATTAAAAATTAACCGCCGCAATATCATAAACCATGCTAGGTGCCATTAATTGACCGCTAATACGTTCCACTTTCTTTTCCTGTAAAACAGTATAAAGAGGTTGTGCAGGAGTATCTGCACCAGTAAGTGTACTACTTCAAAAAAATTAAAATATATTTTCTCTAAATATAATTTAAAATTTAACGTGTCGTCGGCAGCGGCTCTTTTCTTTCGCAATTCGATTGTAGATCCCGGTGTTTCTACTCCTGGAATTGTTGTAATACCACTTGGGGTGATAAAACTAAATTTTTTTAATTATTTAATGTTCTATCAGTGTAATTATTACCCTTCTGTTGGTGCAGGTGTCACATAACCTCCCTCAGGTATACCAGCCTTTTGTTGAGTATTATCTTCATCAATATCACTATCTTCCTCTTCGTTATCACTTTCCTCTTCATCACTACCAATTTCTCCCCAATGTCGACGTTCAATTCGAGAATCATCCTCTAATTCAGATACTTGTGGAAGCTTAAATGACAAAAAAATTAGTGAGAGAATTTTAAAAATAATTTTTTGTTAGTTGTCCTTTCTTTCTTTATAATAAAAAATTTCAATCAAAATTTTATTTAACAATTTAACAAATTTAACAATTTGCCAACCAAATTGTTAAAGATATTAAAAAACAAACACTTAATCCAAAGACATCTCCATAAAGTGGTTTGCCATATTCATCTACAGGCGGTTTTCCCCATCCTCCAGCTTTAAAAATAAAATTTAAAATTAATTTTTAAAAATTAAAAACCATGATATCCAAAAGCACATCCTTCAGGAATCGGACAATTTAAACCAGGAATTCGTAAATTTGGATAGGAAGGAGGTGGTCCATAACGCTGCATTGCAATTAACCATGGAGGCGGAAATTTATTTGCATTCTGTTCAAAAAATTAAAAATAAATTTTTCCTTATGTTTTATTATAATCTCTAGCCTAAAAATTATATTAAAATTTTCAATGTCCAAAAAAATTCCAAAAAAATATTAAAAACCATTACCGGTCCAACAGGCATTCCCAATGCAATTCTTAATTCATCAGAAAGTTGTCCAGGTTTCTTTTCTCTCATTTGTGCTTCCAATTCTTTTCCTTCATAATATAATTCACCCATTTTCGTCATTTGTGGTTTTGTTTGCCATTTAAAAAAAGCATCATGCAATTTCTGATAATCAATATCAATTCTTCCCAATTTTGGTCGAGTTTTTTCACGCATTTTTCCTTTTAAGGATTGATTCTCTTCTTTTTCCCACATTGTTTCACGCATTTCCATTATCCCAGTTCTTTTAATAAAATCAGGTAATTCAAATGGAGGACGTTCAAATCCACGTTTTCCAGCCAAATATTTACGTTTTGCATTCCAATGTCGAGGTACTGGAACTGTATTTCGATAAGCCTTTAATTCAACTAAAATAAATGGATCTTTAGATGTAACATCAGCCCATTCAACAACATCTGCACGGGTTGTACTCTAAATATAAAAAATAATTTGTATATTAAAGGGAATTTTATGATACAATTTGGGAATGTATATATCAAAAAAGAGGGCCAATCAGAAAATAATTTTATAGGATTATAATTTTAAAAACCTACAGCTTTAAGTTCAGCCATAGAAGGTTGCAATGAAATTCTCAACTTTTTACGACTTAATTTTAAAGCTTCTCCTGATTCTTCCGCTTCTTTCTGTAAAAATTTGAAAATTAAATTTTAATTTAAAATTAAACAAACTCGACGCTGTTTAAGCTCTTCTTGAAGAATTTGTTCTGAAACAGCCGCCTTACTAAGAGTATCTTGTACAACATCTAAACGGACTTGTCTGCTTTGTTCTTCTCTTTTTAGTTCATCTTCAGTTTTAATCTAAAGAAAAAAAAATTAGCAAGCAAATAATAAAAATTTAATAATAAAAATAACCCTAAAAGCATTGAAGACTTTAGCAAAATATTGAAAATTAGGATCTTTATCGTCCAAATCAGGCAATTCATTAATATATTCAATTTGCACATTATCATCAATAATTGAAGCTTTTCCTTTTTCAATAACTTCTTTGCCTTCCTCAGGTTCAGTTTTAATCTCATCTTCTAAGGGTGGAATAATTGGTTCAATTTTTTCTTCTCCCTCAATTGGATCTATAAAAAAGGAATTAAAAAGAATATTTTAAAATCTTTACAAACAAAAAACCTTTAACATTTTGTATCTGTTCAATTTCATAATCTTCCTCTTCTATACTAATAATTTTATTTGGAATTTCTTTTTTATTAGACTTTTTAGATTCTTTCTTCTTTTTGTTTTTACGTCTTCGACGTTCAATCTCCTTAAATTTATTTGGATATAGTTTAGATGAGAATGGTCTGAATAAACTTGTCTCCCTATGGTTTTCAATGGTCTATCTCGGCCTATGAGCCCGCGGTTAATTAAATTTCTTCAACAATAAAGATTAAACAAAGATTAAAAGGTTATAGCCGGTAGGTTAACAAATTAAGCTATCGACATCTTTATAATAAAATAAATAACTAACTTTAAGCTCCCTCGCTGAATGCTGAATTTCCTCATCAGAACTTGACATTTTGTAGAAATATTGTTTTAAATAAAATGAATTATAAACTGATAAAATTTAAAAAAAATTATAAAAACTCGAAAACGCAAATGCCGAAACCTCGGCCAAAATATCACGTGTTATCGGGTACACTCCCCATTTATTCGCAGTCAATAAGTATTCGCAAGTTGCCTATTAATCCGGATCCGATATTCGAACAGAAAATTTCCGGATATCCGGCCTTTTTCGGATCCGGATCTGCCAACCTTTGTGCACAAGCATCCCACCGATTTCAATAGGATTACTTTGACTTTTGAGCTTGCAATTAAATGGGGTGTGTACCCAAACTGCGTAACTTCCCAGTAAAGCACAAATGTTACCGTACCAAGAATTCTATAAAATAGAGATCGGAACGGGATCGGGACCCGGTCCCGTTTCCCGGTCCTTTTTCCCGGCTTTTTTGAAGAGGTAATGGTGCAGAATTGGGGAGACACCTTAAAAACACATTAAAAATTATTATTTTTTTTCTGGAAACAATTTTATATAGGTAATCGACCATGCTGATCACGAATCTGATATCAGACCGGTTAATTTCCGGCCGGTTAATTTTCATTCCCGGCCGGTTAATTTTCATTTACCGTTCCAAAATTCCGATTTCTACTATAAAAAGGAAATTCTGTAACTAAATATTCACCATTTCTTCTACTTGAACGACTACTTCACACCTTTGTGTAAGTTTATTTATTTTTAATTGTTCTGATTATTTGACAGATTTTCTTTTAGCAATGCTGCTTGCTCAGGACTCAACAACAGTTGCGCTCTTCAATACTCTGTTGGTGGCTCTTCTGCTAATATCCGTCACAACATTATCGCTTACAGCGCAATGCTGCAAGAAGAAGAAGGATAAAAAGAAGAAGGGAGGAGGGACTCATAAAACTGATCCACCGCCAGAAGGAACACCACCCGCAGAAGACAAGAAGAATGCACCTGGAGAAGGGGATAAAGAAGGGGATAAAAAGAAAAAAGGAGGCTCTTCTGCTAAAAAGGAAAAAGGCAAAGGAGCAGCTGAAAAAGGCAAGGAAGACGGGAAAGCAGCGAAGGCACTTGTAACTGCAATGGGGCCAATGACGCCGCCAGCAACTCCGGTCGGCGATCCATTGAAGACCATGTTCGATGCGCAACAAATGCAGCAACTTCATAATATAGCTCCGGGACTGATCCCTGTGTTTGTTCCAGCAGCGACGCCAGGAGGAAGTCCAACAATCTTCATGATGCCTTCAAAGGACATGCAATCAGTAGCAGCGCTGACGGCACAACCGGCAATGACTGCCCCTGTTGTTGCAAAACCATCTCCAGCAAAAGCTCCACGTAAGGAATTTTGGAAAGTGTAATTTAAAATTTTTTTATTAATTTTTACAGAAAAGGAGCCATCGTTGTATGAAGCCATTGAGATCTCTAAGAGGAGCATTGGTAAGAAAAATGATGGCAAAGGCAATAACAAAAATAAAAAGTCGAAGGGAGAAGCGACAAAGCAGGGGATGGCAGGTGTGTTTTTGAGAGATTACACATCTATTCTCTTAATTTTTTTCCTTTTTAAAGATCAAGGGTCCTATCAAACATTGGCGGATATAGACGCGAATAAGCTGTTCCAGAAGAAGTGATTGCTTCAATAATAGAATTGATGAACTGAGGTATAGCTGAGAAGAATGAAAATTAAAATTAGTTATCCCAAACATTAAATTGTTTTCAATTAACTCTCTCTCTCAAATGCTTTCCTTTAAAATCTCTAATAGGGTTAATTAGTTTATCAATAAATATTTGCAATTGTATTTTGCTCCCCTAAAGCATTTCTATTCATTGTAATTAAGCCTACACTTGTATGTACATAGATTTCTGTATATAACTTTGTATAAATTACTTTTGTTTAGTCCTTTAGAAAAAATAAATGATTACCCTACATATATTTAAATCGGGAATTTGTCATTTTCAAGTAGTAAATAGAAAAATTTTTTCAAAAACAAAATAAAATTAAAAAACAAAAAAAAAAGAAATTCTTTGAGAATTTATTTGGGTTGTAATTGATTATAAGTATTAGAAGAATTTGGAAATGTTGAAGAAGAAGGTTGTTGTTGCTGTTGTGATTTATTTTTTTGTTGTTTATTTGTTGTTATTGTTTCTAAGGGGGATTGGTTTTGTTGTCCAGTATTTGTTTTATAAAGAATTGTTTGACACCGACAATCTTCGGTTTTTTCAGAGAATGGCCTTTTTTAAAATAAGGTTTTTTATTTAAAATATTTTTACTAATTACCAAAGTCCATGTTCACATTGCCAAAATGCTTGCATTTGTATTGCTGTATCTTCATCTCCTAATTCACATGGATATTCACGTAAACAACGTTCACATCCAATTAATTTACTTTAAAAAAACTTTTTTAATTAAAAAATTATTTTTTTTTTTTACTGGCAAGGACTAGCTTGTACTCGTATTCTGCCCTGTTCTCTTTGTCGACCACATCTTGGGCATTGTGCCATATCTACGCGAAAATGATCCATTCGGTGAATTGTGTGGAATACTGTACTTGTCTTTAAAAATTGTTTTTTTTTCGTTTAAAAAGCAATTTTGGTTAAAAGTTAAGTTTGTATGACAGAGTTTCTCTCATTTTTCCATCTTCCTAGAAAAAGTGTGGAAGAAATTCAATATGTTAGAGGTTTGAGTAAGCAATTAAGTGTCAAATTTTATTGCTTTCGAATACCGGACCCGAATTCAAACTCGAAGGACGAACAGTTTGGCCGTAAAATTCTAATTTTTAATTCCAAAATTGAAATCGAATTCGGGTTCGGGATTCGAATCAATAAAATTTGAACTTACATATATTCGAATTCAATAATTACACTTAATTACCTATGGCAAACTTTAAAATTATCGAAAAAGCACCATCATTATTTTCCTCATTTCTAGAGGAAATGGAAAAATGAGAAAAACTGTGTCCATACAAACTTAACTTTTACCAAATTTTTTGTTAAAAACTTGTTGGTATGCAGTTCGTAATTTCATAGCTAATAAATCAGCAAAAACAGCTTCTGGAAGCATTTGTCGATGTTTCTCTAATTCTAAAAGAGATAAACGTGCAACAACAGGAAGACAAGCTTCTTGTACTGAACGATGAAAGTGATGCTTGAAAGACCTAAAAAAATTTGAAAATTAAAATAATTAAACACATTTCCAAACCAATTTAGCCAACAAAGAGCCATTAATGGAGGTTTACTTTCTACACGCTCTTTAATAAATTTTGTGCAACGCATTTCAAGTCCTCTAGCAGCAAATCTTTTACAAAGACGCATACATGTTTCCAACAAATCATCTAAAATAAATTGTCTAAATTTACAAAAAAATTAATAATAATAAAGAGAAATGTTTGATAATTATTAAGTAAATTCATCCGTTAAAGTTTTAGAATTAAAAATCCAATCCTTATTTGGTTTTAGCTAAATAAATTTATATTATTTAACAAATTTGGCAAAAATCGTAAAAGTTTTTCACATTCTGAAAAAACCCGAACTTCGTGTAAAAACCAGGAAAGACATCGAGCCCAGATCAGTTTAAAGGAAACGGATATTGAGCCTCGAATTTTAATTGTTTAAATAAAATAAATTTAAAAAAAATTTAAGGAAAGTTTTTAATTTTTAGAAAATTTTTTAAATTGCTGATTAAATATTAGTATTTAATGGGGTTTTTAAAGAGGTAAAATGTCTTAAAAAAGTTCAACCAGAAATGTCCCTTAGCATTGGAGAGGGTACAGTAGTTTCCAAAAACCATTGAAATTGTAATGCCTGGGGAGGATGCCGAAGTGAAGAGACTTGAATAAGATATTCATCTTCCCTTAAATGCCTTACTCCTTCCATTGGTAAAGCATGACTTTTCAAGAAAAGGGCACGAAAAAAATCACTGGAATGGCTAAGTTGATGTTTACAAACAAGAAAACGAACATCCTTTTAAAAAAATATTTTTTTAATATTTTTTTCTATAAAATTACTTCGACTAAAATAGCAGCAGAACATCCTTCTAATCGACATTGTGGTTGTAAATAATCTAATGTTTTTGCCCATTGTTGTTGTTGTTGCTTTTTAGCAGGTGATCTAGATCTGCTACCAGAAACTATTTCGGCAGTTTTTTGTCCAAAAACTTTTCTTGGACTAGTTGATCTATTTCTTTGTTGTGCAGCTATTAATTGTAATGCCGATGGAAACTGAAAGAAAATAACCAAAAATTAAAAATATTTATAAACAAAATTGAAAATTTTAGGTTGTAGCTAGTTTCTAATGCGTAATCGGATACGGACGAAACAGGTGTCATTTGACTCAGCTCGACGAGCTGAGTCAAATGAGGTGAGAATAGTATCCCGACAACCACGGACCGAGATACAGGGCTCAAAAACAAGCATTCTTTCGGGTTGTCACAAATTTGAAAATATTTATTTTTATTTATTACTTGCCTCCTCCTTTTCCCTTTCAATCTTCTCAATAGTCCCACATTCTCCTCCTATTCTGAATGGTGGTAATTGTGAGGAAATTGGACGTTGAGAACTGTCTGTTGCACTCTCTGCATTTGAATAATTGCGCAACCAAGGAGTTGATGATGGAGAACTTGGCCAAAGTGATGGACTTAGTAACTATAAAATAGTAAAGTGAAATTAGATATACTTGTGATATACTCAAAAACTAATAGTTCAAAATCTATTTGAGGATAATTAATCAAATAATGTCGAATCTCAGCTGTATCATCGATCGGGCAGGAAAATTTTGCAATTGGGTGACAAAAGTGGGTGTCAGATTAAGTGAGACTAAATCGGAATCATAAAAAAATCTAACATTAATTTGAGCGAGATTCGATTGTACCTCTAAAAGTTTATTTTTTAGAACCTCTTGTGAAGAAGTGCCTGGATCTTCTCCAGTAGAGCATTTTCTTCTAGAAAGACTACTCGGTGAATGTGCCTTGGAAGGAGAATGACAAGCTGGAGATCGCCTTTTGGAGTCAGGTGAAAGTTGCAAAGATTTATTAACATGATTGGGTATTTGGGGTTGCTAAAAATAAACAATGATTCAAACAAAGCAGAGAATACTAAATACTCTCTTTTTTTTTATCAAACTACTACAATTCATGTCAGGATAACCAGAAGCTTCAAATAAGAGATTAGTACATTAAAGAAAATAAACTGGCATGAAGCGATAAATTAGAGAGCATTTACAATAAATAAATTAAATCTCAGTCTATGTAATACTTTTGTTGGATTCATTGCCCAAAGATCACTCCTAGGTTGCCTTCTATTTTTATCAATTGAAGGTTGTTGAATTGGTATATGATTAGGCATTACTGTTGAAGGTCCAGCTAAATAACAACATTCATCTTCTTCACATTCTAAATTAGGAAAATGTTGTTGTTGTTGTTTTTGGTGTTGTTGTTGGCCTTTTTGTGGGGAATTAGACCTCGATTTAGTGATCAATCGACGTAAAAAATTAGCCATACCTCGTAGATTTGGGTAATATTTTTTAGTTATTAACAAGAAGGAAAGAACTTTTTAAGATTATGATTGATGTTGTGAATACCAATCAAAAGAAAATTTGGAGTTTTGCGTGTTTCAAAGCCGTTTTTGTTTGAAAGACAAAAAAGAAAAGGGAAGGAAAACCCAAGAAAAAACAAACACAAAACTGAAATTGTTGTTCTGCGTGAAAGACTTTTGCTGATTTTGTTTTGGAAGGGAAAAAGAAAATAAAATAATTGCAATAGAAATATCCTATCAAAAAATCCTCCATTTCTTTTGTTTTATTTTCTTCCAAAAGTATCAAAACAGTTGGTTAATATATGGGGGGCTTTCTGCTGATCATCAGGTGAAAGTATTGTCTTCCACATTTTTCGAGAATTGATTATTTCTTTATCTTTTATTGTTCATTATTTCTACCCATTTCCTCTCTATATTTTTACCAATTGTTCTATTAATATACACCAAAAAATGTGAACTCATTAAAAGAGAGAAAAGAAAAAAAGAGATTAAATATATTAATTAACCTCAAAGTTACCACGTATTAATTATCGATTTGGCTATCGAAAGTTCAATAGCTCTCCAGTCAAAAAATATTTTTTGATAATTTTTTGAATGCCAAACTAGTTTAGAAAAACCTTTTATATTAACCAAATTTTACATAAAAATTAACAGAGAATTTTAAAATAAACCTATCTTTTTATTTTATGTCCTGAATAAACCATCTTTATATCAATATTCTTCAACGAAACTCAAGTCATCAGATTTCTGACCTAATTTGTTTATAAGAAACCCTCGGGCAATTACTTTCGCCTAAAATTTAAAAAAGAAAAATTTTAAAATTTCCAAACAAACCTTGTTATCAGCTTTCTTTTTGGAAGGTTCTGACAATGCTTTCTTCAATATAATGAGCGCCTCTTCTTTCTTGTTAGTCATTGCTAGAGCCATACCAAGATATGTCTGGTTGGCTGGATACTCTGGCTAAAATTAAATTTTAAGTACTTTACAGTTAAAAGTAAAAATTACTGGCCCCAGAAAAAGGCAAACAATATCCTCGATGTTTTAGGGTTTGTATAATTTCCTCTGTTCCCAGCCCGAGAAAATTCGAAGTAAATTTTGAAACTCGTTCTTAAACCAAACCCGCTTTTTCTGACACACGTAAAAATGCTTGTGAGGACTAATTCTATTGTTAATACACCTAACATGGTTATTAAATTAGTGTACTTTCAAAATTTTCGGTTATTGAGGAAAATTTTGATAAAAATGAAGTGGGAAAAGAAGTTAACAATTTATAGTAAGTAAAACAAACCTTCAAATCTTCAGCAGTTTTCAAATATTTCACCGAAGCCTGATAGTTTCCAGCAAAAAAATATTGAACACCTAAATAGATTTATAAAGAATTAATTTTAAATTAAAAATATTTTACCCAAAAAATGATTTGAAAAAGCATCCTTTGGATCCAATTTCACCGCAGTTTCGAGATGATTAATAATTTCTTTGCCGGCTTTCTTTACATGTTTATTGTCCTTGTCAACTTGTTTGAGGAGAATAAGAGCAATGGCATACCACTTATGCGCACCTGCTACACCTTTAGAACTTTCCAATTGGAGAGCTTTATTCAAATGAACAATAGCCTAAAATTTAAAAGAAAATTTAATCAAAAATTAATTTAGAATACTTTCTCTAACAATTCCTTTCGATCTTCAATTGCCTTATAAGCAAGTAAATTCGCTTTTTCGACAAAAGCTCGGCCTAAACGCCAAGAGATTTCACAATTATTAACATTTTCAACTCTAAAAATTTATTAAATTTCAAAAATTTATAATTAAGAACCTTTGTAAAATGTCAACAGCATCCTCAATAATTGCCGAATCCTCAACAAATGAATAAAGACTAAATAACAGATAAACTAATTTATTTACAAAATAAACACCTAAGTTTTTTAACAACATTTTCCAATCTATGAACATTTTCTTGATACCAACCAGGCTTCTTTTTTAATTCAGAATCTGACCAACTTTGATTTCCTTGATTGGAGACAGCAACTACAGCCGCGGTCAATAAACCAATTCCGGCATTTTTCTTAACTCCAAAACCATAAGTAAATCTTGAATAAGAAGAAAAAATATGTCGAAACATCTTTAAAATCTCTAAAAAATAAAAAATAAATATTTAGTGAACAGAAAACAAAAATACTCAAACTTAAAAAAGATGGCGGGTTTGGTCCCTAAAACCATATAGAGAAAAAGGAGGAGTTAAGTAATAAAAACTAGTGACCGGTAATTTCCGGACCCGGATTTGCAACATGAACCGGGTCAGATCCGGCCGGATTTTTCCTGATTAATCCGGTCGGTTTTAATCCGGTAAAAATAATTTCCGGAGTCCGGCCGAATTTATTCGGATTCCGGACTGTTTCCTTCAAGTTGAAAAATTGTTTCTGGATTTTTCGAAAAAAATTTTTTACTGACATTTTGCATTAAAATTTTAAAATAATTTCAAGAAGCCACGAAATTGTTTATAATTAAATCATTCAGAAGGTAGATATTAAATATTTGGGGAATATCGGGGCGGTAGGAATCGGCGGGACTGAATCGGCCGGGACTGAATTGGCATGGGACTGAATCGGCAGGACTGAATCGGCGGGACTGAATCGGCGGGACTGAATCGGCGGGACTGAATCGGCGGGACTGAATCGGCGGGACTGAGTTGTCCTGTTCCGATATCGGGGATATCAGGTAAGTTAAAGGGATAAAATTTTGAGAATTTTAAGGCCGAAGCCAAAAAAAGAAGTTGCTCTCAAACGCCACAGGCAAAATCAAAATTTTTTTATTTCAGAATGCCAAGAGTCAAAAATCCTCCATTTAAAAAAAATACAAGAAAAATGGGAAAATCCCAAAACCGTATCAAATCACAAATCCGGTGTACAAAATTTGCTGGATCCGGTCCGGCCCCATCACTAATAAAAACAAAATTGCTTCACGAGGATTTCGATATTAAGGGTAAGTTATAAAAATGCCGAAATTAATCAACTGATTCGTCCCCCTTTTTTGCCATAAAATTTGCCGGATCCGGCTCATGATTTAGACAATTTATCCATAAATTTCTATTTTTGCAGAGAAATAATTTTGTAAAAAGTTATTAAGAAAAAGAATGAGCGAAAAGGTGGAGCCAGAGTCCTCGGCGTCAATCCAAGAAAATAGCAACCTTTTATGTGATGAACAAATAGAACAACGCTTATCCTCAGAATTATTTAATGAAAGAATGCCTTCAGTTCTTGAATTTCACAGAAAATATCTGGTTTGTTTTTATCCCTACATCTTTTAATTAAAAAAATAATTTTCTAGATCGACCGACAAAGTTCTAAATTTCGAACAGAATTGGAGGCTGAAGATGTAAAATTAGTAAATGGTAAAATATTAAATAAAAATATTTTTTTAATTATTTTTATAGGATTGGGTCAATTATCTGCCGATAAATTAATGGATTATGTTAAAGGATTACAAACAAGCGCTGTGTCACTTGGAAACGAAGAATGTTAGTTTCTTAAAGAAAATATATAAATAAATTAGTCTTATTTTAGCTTTTGAACTAGGTTCAGTTCACTATCGGTTCGGTTCAGCCTTGGAAATAACTATAGTTCAGTTCAAATATTTATAAGTTAAAGTTAAAAATTTAAATATAAGTTCAATACAAGTTGAAAATGAGAAATTGAGGGGGAGTATATATAGTGATCCTAAAGTAAACAGAGATTGTTATTGTGAATTGACAGGTCAGAATTAATTAAATAAAATGGAAAACAAAATATAAGATAAGGATTTTTGGGTAAACATTAAGTCGGGAAAACTCAGTAAACCTTTTGTAAAATTGGAAGGTCAAGAGTTTATCATTTATTTATTTTTATATTTTGGGAAAAAGATAATTTTTAATTTGTTTATTTGCTGATGCGAATGCAGCATCCCTTCCTCCTTAATTAAGATGACGTCCACGTCATGCTTATTAAATTAAACGGAGGAGATTATATTTTAAATTTTTAATTTGTTTATTTGCTACAAATCGCATTTTGTAAAAACAAAAATTTTATGTTAGAAGCCATTTAAGGTTCTATTTTAGCTTTTTTTTTTCTCGAGGGATTTTTTTTTTAGATTTTTTTTTATTCTCCTCTTGTATTATTTTTTTTTAAAATTTTGTTTAATTTTATATTTCTCCAATTATGGGATTGGAATTTTTTTCACTTTTCTCCGACAAGAGTTTAAAGGGATATAGAAAAATTTTTAAATTTGATTACAGACTGGAATGTTTTAAAAAATTAACGGTGAAATTATTTAAGGAATTTAAGTGATTATTTTAAAAGGAAATTGGGGTGGGGAAAATTTTAATTTTTTTTAATGTCCATTTTTAAATTAATGATGAGCACCATTTCTTATCTTCTTTTTACCCTCTGGCATTTGTCCATTTACTTTCCGATTCCATTCCTTGTTTGCTTTTGTGCGTCCTGTCTGTTGTTTTGACGTTGGCAGGCTTATCTTTTGGTGATGGATGTAGTCTTTCTCCGATGGTCCTGCTGTCTTTGTCGATTCTCCCATGTTAAAATTAGGGGGTCTTATCACAAGTTTGTCCTCAACCCACTTTTTTCTTACTTTTTTATTTGTGGGACTGTTTTTCTGATAAGTATGTTTTGAGCTTGGGTTTGTTAAGTTTGTGTCTATTCTCAAGCCACAATTTTTTAGTGAATTATTATTTTTATTTATTTCGTGATTGTTTTTAAATTCAATATTTTCCATTAATTTTATTTTCGCCTTTTCAATATTTTGATAATTTTTTATTAATGTTTTCGCGATTAATTTACCCGTTTGTAAATCTAGGAATAACGGAAGGCTTTTTAGGGTTTCTCTTCCAATAATTACATCATATTTTCCTGTTTTACTAATTTCATTTTCTAATATTACAAGCTTTGTTATAATTTCACAACCCGCTATTTGGAAAATTATTTCTCCTTGGCCAAGTGTGGGTACAATTTTATTTCCTATACCAACTATGGCACTTAATTCAGCGGGAAAGATTTCGTTTATTTCTAATTTTTCTGCAGTTTCTCTACCAGTCAGGGATACATGAGCTCCTGAATCTAATAGGCAAATTATTTCTTTACCATTTATTTTAGTCTTTATTCTAAACCATTCATCACATGTATTGTCATAACCAGGTGCTATTTCTGCTACATTAATTTCTTTCTCTAGTTCTTGTTTGTTTCGCAAAGCTGGCTTTAAAATAAACGTCAGTACACATAGTATAGTACTAGCAAATAGAAAGGCGAGAAATATCCAAATTTGATTTAATATGAGTAAGCTCGCGAAATTTGCGGAAAATATGCTCTCTTTGGGCAATTCTGTCATTTTCCAATTATCGCTTGTTTTTTCTTTAAAGGTAAAGGGTGAGTATACGGGACAATTCATTTCAATTTGTGGTCCATGGCTAGCCAAAGCGGGGCTCATAGTAGCAATAAGTGCAAATATAGTTAATAAATAAGGGCTAGATATTCTTAATGGACTTGCAACTCGGCTTTCACTAAATCTCACTCTTCTGGTGGGTGACCGGCTATAATTATTTGGTGAATTTTCTCTATAATTTCCGTGATTATTGTCATTATATCTGCGGTTATCTCTATTATATTCATTTCTATAATTATTTCTGTTTTCCCAATAATTATTTTGATAATTTCTTCGCTCATAATTATTATATTGGCGAGCTTTATAATTTTTTCTTGCTCTGTTTCGGCAATCCGCTATTATATGTCCAGGTTTATGGCAGTAATAACATAAGCGTCTTGTTTCTCTAGACCGATTAATTGCTAGGGCTTCTACTTTTTTTGCCAAATCAACATATTGGTTATTTTGATATTTTTGGCGCTTTTCGTTTAATAATAATTCAAAATGTTCGGCAACTTCAAATGCCTTAGAATAGTCTTCAGGTCTGGAAGCTTTTACTTCGAATTGAAGGTCTGGCAAAAGCCGATCCAAAAATTCATCTAGCAATCGCTGCTGTATAGTATTTTCTTCGTAACCAATCATTACTGCACGTACTGCGTCATTTAATCGCTGCGCGAATTCAAAAACTCTTTCTCCAGGCGCTTGTTTTATTATAGATAGGGCTTGCCTAGCTACAGTACGAGAATGACCATTTACAAATTTTTCTTGCAAGAAATCTATTGCTTCTTGCAGAGTAGCTGGTTGCGGGACTTTAGCGTCAAGTTCAGCACGAGCGCGACCTCCCAGGCACACTTTTAGACGACTTAGTTTTTGTGCTTCATTAAGAGGGGTAATTATTAAATTTAGAGCATCCATAAATCGTTGGAAAAATTTTGAAAATGAGCTAGTCGGGTTACCGTCATAGACTCCGACTGGTGTCATTAGACCGTTTAAGAATGGGTCTCCGATCATAATCTCAACATTTTCTCCAGTAATGGGTTTCTCAGCAGCTTCCAACGCTTTTTCAGGAGGTTTAGTCTTGCGATTTAGGTCAAACGATTCATTACTTCCGTGACCGTTCCATGAAAATCCGGATCCTCGCGATTCATTTTCTAAAACCTCTACTTTTGCTTCAAGACTTTCAATTTTATCAATTAATTTACGCGCATTTTTAGTAATAATTTCTGCTATTTTCTGCTCACTTTTAGATAAATTATTCTCAACGTTTTCCATCCCTTCCTCTAGGATGTTTAGGCGTTGGATTTGTGAAATTTGTTCTTTTTCTATTTCCATATTTTTAGAGCGCAAAAAGACTAATTCATCTTTTAATTCTCTATCATCCATTTTATTTTCAATTTCCTTCATTTTTGTTTTGTTTAAATCATTATCAACTCCTAAATTAGATATTTCTTCTTTTACAATTTGTTTCAAATTTTTAAATTGATTTTCTAATTTTTCAAATTTTCCATCTATTAAAGCATTTATTTTATCAATTTCAGATGAGGACGAATTTGATGGCAAATTTTGTCCTTCAGAAATTTTCGACTCGATTTTACGGAAGTTTTTGCATACAGCCTCTTCAAAGCTGCGTAATCGAAATAATAAATTATTCCAATGACGACCTTCTTCAGGCGTAAAAAATTTATTCGCAAAATCTGATCCTGTTGTCTGTGTTTGATTTTTATCCATTTCCAAGATACTCCAGAAAATGTTTTCAGGGGCAGGAAATCCTTTATAGAGCTTTTCTGAGAGTGGAAAATCTAGTTCCTCTCTTTTTTAAACTGAGGATTGCACCCAGCAATTTCCTCTACTTTAACCGTTGCACACAGCAGGAGGATAGAGCACCAAGCAGTCTACCTCGTTTATTTTTAAATTAATTACGTGGGGTATTTTCCTCCCACAATTTCTCTCAACACTCTTTAGACCAAGCTCTTTTCAGGATTAGAATATCCTTCAAACAAATTCTTTTTCTCTCAAGGCTTTTACCCGGATTAAGTGGCACCAAAATGAACTAGGTTCAGTTCACTATCGGTTCGGTTCAGCCTTGGAAATAACTATAGTTCAGTTCAAATATTTATAAGTTAAAGTTAAAAATTTAAATATAAGTTCAATACAAGTTGAAAATGAGAAATTGAGGGGGAGTATATATAGTGATCCTAAAGTAAACAGAGATTGTTATTGTGAATTGACAGGTCAGAATTAATTAAATAAAATGGAAAACAAAATATAAGATAAGGATTTTTGGGTAAACATTAAGTCGGGAAAACTCAGTAAACCTTTTGTAAAATTGGAAGGTCAAGAGTTTATCATTTATTTATTTTTATATTTTGGGAAAAAGATAATTTTTAATTTGTTTATTTGCTGATGCGAATGCAGCAGCTTTACAATTCACAAGGGCGAAATTATTAAAAGTTTTTGAGGAATGAATTTTTTATTGAATTTTCTAACTATTTCTTTTTTGATATAATTATTGTAAATCTAAATTAAATTTATTGAAAATTAATTTGTATTATTATCTAGCTTACATACATATCTATTTAATTTTTATAATTTAATTTTTCTTTTTAATTAAATTTTGTTTTTAGTTAATGCAATTTTTAAATAAAATTTCTCGTCAATTTTCGAATTTGGCTCCATCTTCTATGTATTTTGAATATTTTTTATTTAAATTGCTTTAGCTTATTTTAAGCAAGAAGACATGTCTTTATGACCTTCACATTCGGAATGGGGCCAAAATGGTAGAATTTGCAGGTTATTTAATGCCTGGTCAATACAATAATCTTTCTATTATGGACTCTGTTAAATACACGCGCTCGAATGTTGGAATATTTGATATTTCTCATATGCTTCAGGTTTTTAATTTGTCTTAAAACAGTCATAATATTTTTTAGACCATGTTGTGTGGAAAGGACAGGTTTCTTCAAAGTTTATTTTCATTTAAATTAATGATAGAGAGGAATTTTTGGAGAGTTTGACACCGGCTGATATTCAAAATATGCAATTAGATGCAGGGGCTTTGAGTGTTTTTACCAATTCTGAGGGAGGAATAATTGATGATCTGGTAAAAATTAAAGGAATTAAATAATGAAAAGAACAGTTTTAAGATTGTTGTAAGAACTAGTGACGATTTTTTATTTTTGGTTTCAAATGCTGCTAGAAGGGAAGTTGATCTTTTACATATGCAGGTATTTTTAGTTGGAATTAATTTTTTGCAAAAATTTTCTAAAATTTTCATTTAATAGTTTTTTTTAATTAACTAAAATTCTAAATTATTTTAAGATAATATTTAAAAGGAAAACGTTGACAAGTTTCACAAACATTCAAAGGATGTCCAGTTAAATATTCTCAATGACAGAGCTCTTATTGCTATTCAAGGTATTAAAATACTCATAATATTTCGGAAATAGTTTCTCAAAATAGGTCCTCAAATGGTTAATTTATTGCAACCAGAGACAGATATTAAGCTTGATAAGTTATTTTTCATGCACTCGGCGAAAGGAAAGGTTTGTGGAATTGATGATTGTAGAGTAACTAGATGTGGATATACTGGAGAGGATGGTGTTGAGGTTTAGAAATAATTTTTTTATTTAAAAAATTTTTTTGAAGATATCTGTTAATCAAAATTATGCAGAATTAATTATTGACAATTTATTACATTCAAAGAATGCACAACCAAAATTAATTGGAATTGCAGCCAGAGATATTTTGAGAGTGGAAGCGGGGCTTTGCCTTTATGGAAATGAATTAAATGAAGAAATAACACCCATTGAGGCTGGAATTAATTTTGTTATTGGTGATTTTTTAAATTATATGTTTTTTAAAATTTCTCTAGCTAAACAAAGGCGAGGTTCTCTTGGTTTCCCTGGAGCAGAAAAAATTATTGAACAAATAAATAAAAAGAATTTTACAAAGAAAAGAGTTGGACTTGTAGCAGAAGGAGGGAAAGTACCAAGAGGTATTTTTGGTAAAAATTGTTTTTAAGAGTTTGTTTTTAAAAGCTGGAATGTCTGTCATTGACCTTTCAAATAATGAAATTGTGGGTATTGTTACTTCTGGTTGTCCTTCACCTTGTTTAGGAAAGAACATTGCAATGGCTTATTTGAAAAAGGAATGGACTAAACCTGGAAATATTCTTGGAGTTAGAAGTGGATCAGAAAATAAATTAAACAAAATTACTCAAATAGAGGTTGTCAAGTTGCCTTTTGTGAAGACTAAATATTTTATAAATTAAATATTTTATGTATTCTTTTAGATATTTTGTGACATTTTTTCATTCCATTAACTAATTAATGCTTGTATTACTTACATATTATTCTATCATGCCATAAATTTTTATATTTTCCATAAATTCTAAATTTTCAATAAATTTATCTGTTTTTTAAAATATTTAATTATTTAAAAATGAAATTTATTTTTATTTAATTTTAGATTAAATAAACTATTTTGAAAAATGAGTAAACCAGAATATCAAGGACCACCAGAGGAATATTACAATGAAAAAGAAGCTAGAAAATACACATCAAATAGCAGAATTCAACAGGTTTGACAAAGTTTCTGTGCAGTGGGGCAAGTTTATTAAAAAATTTAGATACAAGCTGATTTGGCTCAGAGAGCATATGATTTATTAGAACTTCCCAAAGATGGTCATCGATTATTATTAGATATTGGCTGTGGTTCGGGTTTAAGCGGGGAAGTGCTTGAACAAAACGGACATAATTGGATTGGTGTTGATATTAGTAGGGCAATGTTAGGTTAATTAATTCTTCATTCTTTTAATTTGTTAAAATTCAAGATGTTGCTAAAGAGAGACATGAAGACGAAGATAATCAACCCGAAATGAATGATTTTGTTCAATTAGATATGGGTGCTGGGTTGCCTTTTCAGGCTGCAGTATTTGATGGCGCTATAAGTATATCTGCAATACAATGGCTCTGCCATTCAAATTCAAAGAAAGACAATCCACAAAAAAGATTATTAAAATTTTTTGAATCTCTTTTTGCGTGTCTTTCTCGTTCAGCTAGGGCCGTTTTTCAGTTAGTTTTTTTAATTAAAATATTTTTAGACTCTTCGTTTTTTCAGATTTTATCCTGAAAGTGATTTACAAACAGAAATAATCTGTCAACAAGCAACACGTGCAGGTTTTCAAGTAAGTAATATTTTTTGAAAAGATGTTTAAAAAACTTTATTTAAAAGGGAGGACTTGTTATCGACAATCCAGAATCACAAAAACAAAGAAAACTTTTTCTTGTATTAAGTGCTGGTGTTAATGCAGCAATTAATACAAAAACACAAATATTTAATAATTCTAAAAAATCTGAAATAAATCAATCACATATTGAGGTTATTGGACGAAAAAGGAAATTTAATGAAAGAAAAATTAATAAAAAGAATTTTAAAAAGAAAAAATAAATTCGAAAGTCTATTTTTTTTGTTAAATATTTCTTTGTTAATTTAATTTAAAAAATAAAATTATTTGACTTGTTTATTGTATTACTGTCCAATTGTCGGTGTCATACATATTTTATTGGAACTTTTCTTTAAAAAATATTTTTATTCCATTCGTTTTAAAATTATTATAATTTAAAAATAAAAATTTTTGAAAAGAAAATGGAGGAAATAAAACCTTTTATTAGTTCTGTGTCACAAACAAATGAAACAATTAATGATGATCGTCCTCCTGTTCTTGAAATACAAGAAAATAATTTTAATGTTTCTGAACAACAAGTAAAATTAAAAATATTTCAAATTTAAATTATTTTTTATTTTTAGGGGTCGGATTTGTCATATTTGTTAGGAGGTTTTTTTATTCTATTACTTTCAAAATATTTTTAGATAATTATTATATCGAGAATGGAATTATATATCAAAAAGAAACAAATAATTTAATTGACATTAAACAAAAAGATTTGAGGCAGTCAAATAATTGTTTTAAACAAATAATTGAAGAGACACCTAATTTTAATTCGAATGTTTGTTGTGGACTTTGTGGTTCTATTCTGACATATGAATTGTTAATAAATGAACATTTGCCGAATATTCATCCAGAAGTTTTAACTAATGGAATTGTTGATCTTGAAGAAATTCCTTATGAAGTTTTAAAAATATTTTTTTGACTAATTAAAATTTACTTTATAGGCCTGGCTTAATGAACAACCATTAAATCCCTCTACTCACAATTCTGTCCGTTCTGGTCTTGGAACTAAATTTTCTCCGCAAAAGGTTATTTCAAATTTTCGACATGTACGGTCAACACGGCAATTACGTCGAATTAGCCAATTTCGAGTTAATACTTCAGAAATGTCAATCCCTGAATTGGAATTGGTTTTACAACGAAAAATGGTTGAAAAATTGGGTCGAAAGGTTTTAAACAATTTTTAAAATTTTAATAAAAAAATTAAAAGATTCCTGTTACTTTGGTAGATAAATTACATGCAAAATGTGGAATTTGTGATACAGTTATTTCTTTAAATAAAAAATTTGAAATTGTTCATTTGGTGAGGCATTTTAATGCTTGGCATCCTTCAACTCATAAATGTGCTGGTACTTGGCCAAATATGGTTTTAATTTATTTAATGATCGAATATTTGAAATAATTTGTTTTGGAGTTGAAAAGGGGTTTTTTATATTTATTTTTGCAAAAAAAAAACTAGTAAATTAATAACTAATTAAAAAATGTTTGGAGTAAAAATAATTTTTAAATTAATTTTTTAAAGGAATCAACTGATAATTGTAAACCTTTAAGTTCTCAAGATTTTGCTGTAATTGATACAAACTCTAATTCTATTGACAATCTTCAATGTATTTGGTGTGGAATGTTTCTTTCAAGGTTTAAATTACCTACAAATTTTTTTTCAAATTATTTAAGTAATGAAATTGGAATGCATTTTCATGAAATTCACCCAGAAGAGGTCGAGGTCCCAAAATGTAATCTTTGTATGCAAGAATTATTGCTTAATGCCCGAATATATGAACGTTTTAGAGAAGATTTTTGTTTGTTTTTTTAATTAAAATAAAAAAGAATTTTCTTTTAAAGGTGTAACAATGCCTGATGAATATACTTTTAGAAGTATTAAATTTAAAAGGGATTTTAAATCTGAACAAAAATTACAAAAAGGTTTTTAAATATTTTTTTGTAAATTTTAATTTTTCTTTAGCAATAATTAAATATTTAAAAAGAATTAGTGAAGGATGTAATCCAGAGGTTGTAGATATTGAGGATTTGGATAATTCTGAAATTGAAGAAAATGAAGAGAGTGATGAAATAAATAATGAATTACCTTCTTGTGAAGTTTTTGCAAATAGTAAAATGATTTGTGGTTTGTTTAGAATTTTTAATAAATTAGAGGGATATACGGAGTATATTTAAGAATATTTTTATATTTTTAGAATAATTTAATTTTAATAAATTCTTTTAGGTCGTCGTGCAAAACCTAAACGAAAATTTATAACTCCAATAGTTCGTCAAGCATTTTTAGAAAATAGCTCTTTTGTTTCTCCAATTACACATTCTCATTGGAAATGTCTTTTATGTCATTTAGATATTTATGCTGCAGTTATAAGTGCCGGCGTGATAAAACATTATAAAAAATTCCATCCAATTCAACTTCCACAAATTCAATTAGAACTTTGCAAAGTTTTTTTTAATAATTTAAAAAGATAATTTATTTAATTTTTTAAGGCAAGATTGGATAAAATAAGTAATAAAAATATGTTAATTTTTGGAAATGAGAGAGACAAACAAAGAGGTACTTGTTCAATTGAATGCCAAATTTGTACACAAATATTTCCAATGACTCCACCTTTTAATATTTGTAGAGCTATTAGACATATAAAAATGAAACATCCAGAAGTTATGCCCGAACATAATAATGGGGGTGAATGTACAAATAAAGTAAATTTTTTTAATTTAAAGATTTGCCGTTTAAATTTTGAGTTGACAAGGGACTCTTGAAATACTTTATCGAATTATGGGCAGCTTCTTCTAAACAAGTCCCTTATAACCAATTTTAGCATAAATATTTACAAAACTAGTTTAATTATAAATCACATATTCGGTTTCTTGGGATTTTGAGCGGTTAGGGGGGTTTTGAATTTTTTGAAAAAATTATGAATAAATTTAAGAATAGTCAATGTCCGATATTAAACTCAAAAAACGTTAAGGAACCCTTCAGTGAAAACCAGTGCTTCGAAATTTCAAATTTGCTCGTACTCGTACTTCGTACCACCTCTTTTTTTGGCCTCGTACCTCGTACCACCCCCATTTTTTTGCTCGTACTCGTACCTCGTACCACCCCTATTTTTGGCCTCGTACCTCGTACTTTTCACTTTTTTTGGCCTCGTACTCGTACTTCGTACCAGGTACGAGTACGAGGTACGAGTACGAATTTTGGTCGAGCTTCGAAGCACTGGTGAAAACCAAAAAATAAATAAACTTTATGGGATGGAAAGAGAAAAGAATTAAATAATTTTGAGAAAATTTAAATAATTTTTAATCTTTTTTTACTTATAGGATACTACATTTTCGCCTCCAAAATTTGATCATTTATCACAAAAAGAAACTTTAAATAAATTAAATATAGGTAAATATATAAACATTTTAATTTATTAAAAAACAAAATTTATTTTAGATAATGAAGATGATATAATTTATGCTAAAGAATTAACAGACCTAAAAACACTAGAAATGTTATCAAATAATTATAATATTTTATTTACTAAAGTATAATTTTTTTAATTAAAAATTAATTAATTTTAAAATTTTTAAGGCTTTCTCAATTTCTAATAAAAATATTAAACAAAAAATATTTATTTTAACACAAAACAATGAAGAAATAAATGCTTTAGATGTTGAAGAAGTTATTAGAGTACGTGACCCTTTATTGGATCCAATGGTTGTTATTCTAAATAAAGTAAAGAATTTAATAAAAATATAAAAAATAAATTTTATAATTTTTTCAGGATGATAAAACAAAAAGAAAATGTTAAATTTGTTAGAACAGAAATACAGAAATAATTGTCGATTTATTTTTTAATTTTTATTTTATGTAAATAATATATTTTGTGTATAATTTTTTTATAAAAAATATTTACCATTTATTCATTTCTTTGTCTATAATTATTTTCAAATGGTTCAGGGAAAGGAGGAAATCCATTTCGAATATGTTCAGGGAAAAAATCTGTTGGATGAAAATTCTTTTGTTGATTATTAGAAAATATTAAAGGAGGGGATTTTGGTGGTTGAGGGGGAGGAGGTGGAGGGGGGCCTCTTCGATTATTTTGTTCATTTGAAGAATATTTATTTTGTCGATTTTCTTCTCTGCTATTTGATGAGGAAGAAGTAGGAGCTACAAATTTTGGTCTATTATGTTTAGGTGTCCAGCGTTCGCGACTTTCAGAATTTGGATATTTAATATTCTCGTTTGATTCTGTTGAATATTCTTTTATTTTACGTTGTTTATTCTACAAAATATTTTACTAGTTATATGTACTATGTCTTGTTTATATTTGAAACTAAAAACACCAACAAATTGGAATTTTAAAAATTTTTAAAAATTATTTAGAATTAAAAATCTTTTATTTTTCCATTTGTTAAATTCAAAACAATATTTTTGTTTTTTCAAACCTGAAAGTTTAATTTTTGTTGATTTTTTGACAATTCTTGTGATTCTCTTTCATTTTCCATTCTTCGGCCTTGTATTATTTCATTACTTTTACTTTTTAAATTAAATTTTTGTTTATTTCCAAATTCTTTTCTTTCATTTTTATTTTCTTCAGAACTTTTTAATTGATGAAATGATGAGGAAGGAGGGATTTTATTTAATTGTTTTTGACTATTTCCTTCTTCTTCTTCATTTTTCCATTGCCATTTTTGTAAATGTTTCATTTCTTTTGATTGTTGATCTCGTTCTTCATTTTCAATATTTTCTTTTTCATTTGTTTTATTTAAAATTCCTCCTCTTTTATTATTTAAAAATTCTTCTGGTTTTGGAAATGTTTCGTTTATTTTTTCTTCTTCACTAATTTGTGGAAGAGAATGGTGGTGACGATAATGTTTTTGTTGATGTTCTGATTGTTGTTGGGGTTGGGGTGCTGGTTGAGATGGACGTCCAAATTGAGGGCCAGGAAGGGATTGTTGAGTTAAAAATGGAGTAAATGGACTGAAGAAAGGAATTGAACGTTGTTGAGGAGAGAAGGGGGAGGAGGGGGATGAGAGATTATCTTTAAAATATTTTTATTTTTTTAAATAAAATTACCTTTTAAAGATTGACATTTAACAATAAATAAAAATAAAAAAGAATAAAATAATTTAATAGTCATTTTTTAAATAAAAATAAATAAATTGGAGAATCGGAGAGAATTTTTGTATCTTTTTATTTGCAATTATTTAATAAATAAACCAATAAAAATTATTTTATTAGATATTTGTGGGAAAATACTTTCCGGATTTAATAATTTTTAGATATTAAAAATATGTAGAATTAAAAAAATAAAGGCTTATAAAATTATTTTTTTGTTTAGAAATTTTTTTATTTTTTTCATATATTTTTTATTAATTTAATAATTTTTATAAGAAAAGTTTTTTCATCTAAAATTAATAAAAATAATTTTAAAATAATTTCTAACAAAATTACATTTTAAAAAATTTATTTTTTTCTTCTTTTCTGTATTTTTGCCAATTTTTCAGCTTCACATTGTAATTTATATTCAATTTTATACCCAATTTTCATTTGTTCTACACAAAATTCTCCAAGAATTAAAATAGCTTCAATTAAATCTTCTGAGGTATTTTTGTTGCCATTTTCTCTTTTTAATGTTAAAATATCAATTAATGATTGAATAAAACACTTGAAAATAAATTATTAATATTTTATTATTCTCACCTCCTCCCCCCTCCCCTTATTTTAATTTAAAATTACCTTCCAATAAGAACATTTATAAGTAACACCTATTTATTTAAATACTTTTATTTATTTTTTTCTTTTTAAAATTACCAGTATAATTAACGTGTCTACCCCCAAGTTGTTGTAAATGTTTAGATAATTTAGTAGCATTGCCAGGATGTGTCATTATATTAATTAATGTTGATTCAAATGTTTTAACATGACAAATAAAAACATTATTTTCTCTAATTAAATATTCATCAAAAGGATTACTACTACAAAATTCATTTAAAGAAAAATAATCCAAATTTCGAGAATCTAATTGAAATATTCTCAACAATAATTTTACAGCAATTTCATTTTCATCCTCCCCAACAGATTTTAATAAATTTTTCCAAGCTCTTTTAATTAATCCAATTTGGTGGGGATTTAAATCTCCGTTAATTGCAAACATTGGCTCGGTATTTTGACGTAAACAATTATTTGTATTATTTAAAGAATTTATTGAATTAATAAAAGAATTTGTTGTATTTGTTGTGTTTGTATTGCTACTTGAACTTCTTGAACTTGAAGGGGAATGGGCGGCACTTTTTTAATTAAAAAGAAATAAAAAGTTGAGAATAAAGTTTAATTTAAAAATATTTGTTTAATTAATAATTTTAATATTAAAAATAATTAACAATTAAATAAAAAACCTATTAATTAATTTCTATACCTATATTCCAAACTATGACTTCTTTGACTATTTTGACTTTGATGGCTATATCGACTTTAAAATAAAAATTTTTTTTTATTTTTTAAATATTTAAATACTAATTTTGATTAATTCTTTGGTTATTATTTCCATTTTTAATTGTAATTCTGGAAGTAGATGATGGAGATTTAGAGCCAAAAGATTCCTCCCGGCGAGGGAAACGGCGTTGAGGTTCTTCTATTATACCTCCAGGGGTCGTATTTCCCATTTGTAAATTTTTAAAATATTTTTAAGAATTTCTAAATAGAAAAAAATCTTTAAAAAATAGAAAAGAAAAAAATACTTTTTAATTAATTAAAAATTAAAATGTATTTTTAATTTCAATAATTAGTAAAAATACTATATCTATCTATGAACATATGTAGCCTAGGTAATAGTGTGGTTTACCCCCCCCCCCCCTCTATTTTTTCCTTCTAGAGCTCTTCGATCTGAGTTAACAAAATCTGGCTTAAAATTATCATCAATTGTTTTAATCCATCGCAACACACAAAAAAATTTTCCAGCGAAAATTCATCGTCATAATTTTTTTCAGAATCATCAAATCTCAAAAATATTAATATCATTCAACTTGAGTTCTTTCGAAAAACTATTACCAAATTATTACCGTAGTTTATTTGATAAAAAAATAATTTTTTTAATTTAAAAAACTTTAAAAGTTTTATTTTGTAGATTTGACTTAAAACAAATATTTTTTGGATATTTTACTTTACAAAATTTCGTGCCGTTTTTCTATTCCCCCGAGGGGGAAGAAGAATTTCATTTTTAAAAAAACTAAATAAAAAGAAAAATGAACGGATATTTGGTTTTTAGCTTTCTTTACTCGACTTCTTGGAACGCGTCACTTCCCTTTTGGGAATATTTTAAAGGAAATACTTACAAGAGATTGATTTGCTTTTTTTGTTTTTGTTTAAAACAAGGAATATTTAGATAAATATTTAAATGTACTACTTAAATACAACAATTCCTTATATTAATTAATTTAAAAAATAATTTTTGTAGACTAATAAATTAGAAAACTTTTAAATATTTTTAGAACAATTTTTATTTCATAATTTTATAAAATAAAATAAATAAATTTTATTTAAAGCAAAATTATAAAAAGACAAAAATTGGCAAGAAAAAAACAAAAATTAGGCGCTTTTTGGTAAGCAGAAAATTGAAAACATAATAAAATTGAGCGGAATATTTTTAAATATTCGAGGATTATTTAAATAAATTAAAAGAGAAAATCTAAATTTTGTCTCAATTTAATTTTCGTTTCATATCAACAAAAATTGCTTAACGCCAATTCAACCCAGTTCGTTTTAGTAAACCTTTTGGATTCAATTGTTTAATTATTAAAACTTAAATTAAAATGGTGTTACAAAGGAAAGTTTAATATAAGTTTTACAAAGGAAACTTTCGTAGAAATTGGAATCCAGTTAGTTTTTGGCGCTATATTTTCGTTCTTATCATGGACAAGGAAATTAATTTAACGCTAAGTTCTTGTGGCTATCACCCCAAAAGGTTTAGGCTTTAGGTTTTGGCATGAAACTTTGTTTGGATGAGGAAGTGGTGGAATATATTTAAAAGATTAATTGTATTTAAATAAAAAGCAATCCTCAAATATTAATTAAATACAAAAAAAAGTCAATTATTTATAAGAAATTATTTATAATAAGTTAATTGTGCTAAAAAGTATAAAAACTAAAAGTCAATATATTTAATTATTTAAAACTTTAATTTTAAATTTACAAATTGTCAAGTTCAATCCAAAAATATAAATATAGTCAGTAAACACTTTAAAATTATTTTTCTCCAAAAAATATTTCTCATCTTTTTTTTCTTTTGGAATCATAACGAGAAAACATGACACCCCAAATACATAAATTATTTTTTTTAAATAATGTGTCAATTTAAAATTAAAGTTTTTTACAATTAAAATTACAAATTAAATAGGTACTATATATAAATAATTAATTAATATAAAATACTCTAACCCGTAATTAAAATATGAGAAACTTTTTCTTTTTTTTTAATTTAAAATCGATGTTGACAATATAAATTATCTTCATTAATTTCTTCATAAATATCAGAATTTCTATTTGTAATTGTTGTTGGGTCAGTAACATAACGAGGAGGAGGAGGTGTGGATATTTCTTCTTCTCCAAGATATTTTTCTTTTCTTTTTCTTTTTTGATTTTTTGAAGAAGAAATAATTGAAAGATTTATTAAATTTGTGGATGTTTTGTTGTTTTTATTTTTTCTTTTAAAAAATTGGAAAGGTAGAAAACGAAAAATAATAAAACAAAATAAAGATAAAAAGGCTAATAATAAAGCTATTAAAGCTAATAATAAACAAATTATGTTTAATAATGATGAATTTTGTTGTTGTTGTTGTTTAGATGAAGATAGTAAACATTTAATACAATCACTAAATTTAAAAATTAATTTTTTGTAGAAAGATATTTTGGTACTATCCGATTATCTCCACCTTTTTCCTTTCCTTTCTTTTTTTTTTATTTAAAAATGATAAAAGTCAAATAATGGTCAAGGAACATGTGCGTGTATATAAATAACTCTGAGTCCCCATTTCCATAATATTTGATGAGAATTCATTTATTTCAAATAGAAGACATAAGTTGGCAATTGTACTAATTGAAAAAGCTGGAGATTCGATGCAGAATTTTACTTTTACTGCATTTTTTAAGCTTGGAATGAGTATGAAAAAAATGGGAGTAGGGGGGGGGGATAATCGTGTAGTACTTATATTTTTGTTTTAAAATACCTGTTATTATTTCCCCCTCCTTCTTCTTCTCCAATTTGTTTAATTCTTTTAATTTTATTTTGACAAATTTCCCCTTCCCATTCTTCTTTACAATAACATTTAAATGAATTAATTAAATTTAAGCAATTTCCACCATTTAAACAAGGATTTATTAAACAATTATTTATTTTATTTTCACAATTAATTCCAGACCAGCCAATTGGACATAAACAAACATAGCCGTTTTTGTTAAAATTATCTGTTACACAATTACCTCCTTAAATTTAAATTAGAAAAATTAAAAATTTAAATTTCTTTCAAACCATTTTGACAAGGATTTTCACTACAATACCCCCAGGGCAATTCACAAAGAGGGCCAGTCCATCCATCCGGACATAAACATTTAAATGAATTGTTTTGGGGAGTTGAAGAAGAATTTAAGTAGTAGTCAATACAAGAACCCCCATTTTGGCAAGGTAAATCTCTACAACCATTTGGGGCTTTAATTTCACAAAAACGTCCAAAAAGGCCAAGTGAAGGGGGACATAAACAACGAAATCCTGGTGGAGAAAATAACTGAAAAAATTAATTTAAAATTATTTAATATTTATATTCTCTCTAAAAATCGGAATATTTTATGTCACAAATTCAAATATTTAATCAAATTTTATTTGATCAGATAGTTAGTCCAATCTCTACATAATCCCCCTCCTTTTTTCTAAAAACAAACATTAATGCATTTAGCTCCATTATAACAAGGTTCATCTTCACAATTATTCAAAACCTTTTCACAATTAATTCCTCCATAACCAGGCCTACATTTACACGTATAATTCCCTTCTGCATTATTTTGACAAATTCCTCCATTTTGACAGGGAGAATTTTTTGAACAAAAAATTAAATCTTTTTCACAAAACTGCCCTCCTTTCCCTTCCGGACAAGAACATTCCCCCGGCCTTTGACGGCAAAATCCTTTACATTTTGAATTTGGAATACACTAAATTAATTAAAATTATTTAAAAATATTCTCTTTTAAAATTTACTTTTTCACAATTATTTCCCCAATAACCAACAGGACAAACACATTTATTGTCTACACACTTCCCTCCATTAATACAGTAACAATTACTTTGATTATTCCCTTCCATTTTTGTATTTAATAAAACTTTAAAAAATTAAATTTAAAAGGGTCTTTGACAGAAAAAAACTTTTTTGTTCACAATTTAGTCCTTTCCACCCCTTTTTACATTTTTTCACTCCACTTTCATTATCACACTCAATTCTGTCCAAAATAATTTCCAAATCATTTAATTTACAATAAACATCACATCCAGAACCATAAAAATTTTCTCTAAAAATTTTTTTTTGAAAATTAAAAAAAACAAAAATTTAATTTACAGGCAATCGACACCAAAAAGAATTTCCAATTTTCTTCTTTTATTTTTTAAATTAAAATTTGAATAAATTGAACGCCAACCATGGCCAACAGGTAAAGGAAATATTCTTTCTGTTTTTTGTAATAATAATTCTGAAAATATTTGTAAAGGATTAAATATCAACAAATAAATATATATTAACTGTGAAGTACTTAAAAATAAATCCTTTCCCCTTCCACTTAAAGTGATTTTTAGAAACAAAAAGTAAATATTGCAAAAATATTACAATAAAAAAGTGTTGGTTTAAAAGTAAATAAATAAATAAATTTTTAGAAGAAAATTTGTCAAATTTTTTAAAAAAATTTAATTTTAATTAATTTTATCTAAAAATATATTTATTTAAATATTCTGTAACTATTTAACTATTCTCTTTTTATTTTTTTCATTGTAATATTTTTTTTCTTTTATTCTTTTTACAGTTTAGTAATAAAAAAATACACAAAAATTCCTCATAAAATGTAAATATCCTTTACTATAAATGTTTACATGGATATATTTATGTAGTAAAAATGCAAATTATTTAAAAAGGGAATTAATTAAAGTTGCCGATATTTAAATAGTTTAAATAAATAAATAAATATTTATTTTTATTAAAAAAGCGGCATTTATGCCAAAAACTTCTTTTTTTCTTTCCAAATTTAAATAATTTCCTCAAAAAAAGAAATTATTTAATTGGTCATTAAATATTTTTTCTTTCTTTGAAAAAGTTTTTCTTATCTTTTTTTGGCTCCCGATTGGTAATAAAAGAAAGAAGAAAAATAAGATTTTGATAAGGACAATTTATTTATTTATTTAAACAGGCCACACGCCGAAAAACTAATTAAATAAAAATATTTTCTTTGATTAAAAATAAATTGATTAAAATAAAATCAAAACAAAAATAAATTATTAAGAGAGGGATTTGGGGAAGGGGCACTTTAACCTGTCTGATTTTATTAAAAAAAATAAATTTCTTTTTCAAAAAGTTTTTACAAAAAAATATTTAAAATAATTTACCATTGTCGTGCCAAAGTCGCAATTCAAGTGTGAAACTCTGCTGGAAAATTTTGAGGGATTAAAATTTGACAAATTGAGATATATTTATATATATATTTCTTTTTATCTACATATTTTTATTCCCCTTCCTTTCTTTTTTTAGTAATTCCGTGTCATTGCATCCCTACTCTATATCTACTCCTAATCTACACCCTACACCCCCAACAAAAAACATTTTTTGTAAAAATTAAATACAAAAACAGACCCGCCAAAAATGAGTAAAAGGCAATGAAATCGATGCTGTTTTTGATGATGTTGATTGTTGCCGGTCATCAAAAGTGCCATTACCGCGTACAAAAACTTCTGCTCTTCCAAATTTACAATCTTTTCCCCATTCACTTTTACTAGATGATTCACGCAAATGAAATCTTGAAAGAAAAATTTGAAAAAAATTTGACAAAAATTATTTGTTTTTTAAGGAAGATGGGAGAGAGGGGTATTTACAAATTTAAATAAAAATTTAAATAATTTACTCGGTAGCACACAATTCTATTCGAAATTCCTCAGAACTATTAAAAGTAGTCAATTGAAATCTTAATTGTCCAGAGCCAATAATTAAATTAAATAAATTTAAAAAAATAATAAAAAATAAATAAAAGGAATTTATTTGTTTTAAAATAATTAACATTTTTTAATTAATTAATTTCTAAAAATAATTTTAAAAGAAAATATTAATTAATTAATTGCTTAAATTAGGTAAATAATCACTTCATTAAATAAAAAAATAAAAATATTTTTTAAAAAGTTTAAACGGTCATTGGTTCTTTTAAAAATTAAAATATATTTTATTTAAGGTAATTTAATGAAAAGGGGAAAAGGAATAAATGAAGAAAAAGAGAAGAAAGAAAAGAAGGGGTTGGACATTAAGTGATGGAATGTTGCTAAATTTTGAGGTTTTTACTTAAATTAAAAAACTGTTTCTTTTTAATTTTAAAATTTTATTTTCTTTGTTGACAAAAATATTAAATAAAAAAGTAAAAAAAATATTTATTTTTGATTTTAAAATATTTTAAAAAAATGTTTCACCTGGCCCGTTGGGGAGAATTTTCTGAGGAGCGATTGGGGTTGGAATGGCTTAAAATCATCGTGAGGCGAGGATGGGGAATCGGGAAACCGGGGTCGGCGATCAATTATAGTTAAACTAAACGATTTAAATTAGGTATATAGGAGGGTGGGAGGGGGGGTATCCCAATTGCCTCTTGCGCCCGTACCTAATACATACATTTGTATAATTTATAACTAATAACTAAAAAACAATAAGAACAGCAACAATGACTATATTTAAATATAATTTTTGATTACCCAATTTAATCGTCTTAAATATTTTCTTTCTAAATACTTTATTAAGAAAACCAATTTAAATCTTTTTCTCAATATTTGCCCGCTCATTCACATTTAATTATGTTTTTAAAAATATTTTTTGAAATTTTGGAAGGTCCTAATAGAAGAAGAAATTTAAGAGAAAAAATTGTTTTTACTCTGTTGGATATTTTGTTTTTCTTAAATTTTTGTGTGCATCTGCCTCCCTTTCACCTTAAAAATTGTTCGAGAAATAATTAAAAATAAATAAATATTTTAATCAATTTATTTATAAAATTATAAGTAAATAAATATATATTTTTTGATAATTTTGGGGAGATTTTTGGCGGTAAAAATATAAAAAGAGAAAGAAATTGAATGAGGCAAAAATAAAAAAAGTTTATTTAAAAATATTCTCTCTTTTATTTTTGCCGCCTCTCCCCCTCCTTTTCTCCAAAATTATCCAAAATTAATTTAAAATGATAACATAATTTTGCCTTAAATTAATATTTGACTTAAAAAAGATAAAATTTAAAAATTTTCTAAACATGAAAAGGGGAAAAATAATTTAAAAAATATATTTGGTATTTCTATTAATATGGAGAATTACTAAAGTTTTAATTTTAAATTAAAACGATAATTTTTTGAGGTAGAAATATTTATAAAAATAGCTTACTTACTTACTCTTAATATTCTTCTCTTTCATGAAAGTAACCTCCTATTAATTTAATTTTTGGGGATACTCATCAGTTTCATAGAAAGTAAGAAGAAAGGCCCATTGGACAATAAAAACGCCGTAGGCCATTCACCTTGTGTCAAAAACACTTTAAAATAATTTTTGATTAAAAATAAGATTACTGGGGGCAATTAAGTATTTGGAAGGGGGCAAAAAGGTGAATAAAAAATATTAAAGTGTGAAAGAAAATCGCGCAAAATATCACACTTTAAGGCTAAAAATAAATGAATAATAACACTTAATTTAGATAAATTTAATTAAATAAAAAATAAGGAAAGCTAAAAATTATTTTAAAATTTGAAAAATAGAGAGAAGAGCTTTTCTTTTATTATTAAAGGTGTGAATATTATTTGCCCTGATTTGGTTAAAAGATTAAAAAACACATTAATATATTTATTTAAAAATGTCTGAAATAATTTAAGTTTGAGGCAAATTTTACGCGGATTAGATTACCTAAAAATGAATTGAGACAACATAAAGTTATGTGTGCAGCGATCTTTATCTTTCAAAAATATTTTTTGGGCAGAAAGGTAAGAGTAAAGAAATATTCTGTTGTTTTTGTTTTTAAAATATTTCTCAATTTAAATATTTCAAAAATCTTAAAAACATCTGTTACCAGTCGCTACTTATTTACTAAACACTTTCTGACCCACAAATCCAGAAATGAATATTTTACTAAATTAAAATAAGGCTAAAAATATCAATTAAAAATTATATACTATTTTAAACTAATTTTTAAAATTATTTATCTTAAAAAACTATTAAATTGAAAAAAAACAATTTTCTCTGGTAAAATATTCGAAAACTAAAAACTATTAAATAAAAATATCTGTGTACAAATAGCCAATTTCAATTTCACTCTACAAAAAAATTTAAACATTACAAACCCAATAATTAAAACAAAACTTTTTTTCTTCTGGAAGGCTAAAAATGAATAAAAAAAGGTATGTATGTACAAGTTTACTACATTAACACACACATACCTCTTCAACTTGGCGCCTTCTTGTCAGGGCAAAGAAAGAATTTTGTGGAGGAATGTTTGAAGGAAGTAATAGAAGATGAAGATGAACTTGAAAGGAGGAGGTTGATTATTAATAAATTAGTTAATAAAAAAAGAGGGAATTAAAGAGGAGGAGGAAAGGTTGTTGGGGGGGGGGGATATATGGAAAAGGAAATGAAAAGACAAGGACATAATTAAATATTATTTTTGGAAGAAAAGAAGAATATTATTCCGGAAGCTCAATAATTTTATTCAAACTTTTTAAAGAAGAAGAAAACAACAAAACAAAATATATAAACACATATGTTTTTGATTGAAAACATATTGAGAGAAGAAGAAATACTTGGGAAATTAATAAAAAAAATATTTAATAGAAAGGATCCGGCAATTTTTATTGCTAATAAATTAATGGAAATGAACTTTAAAAGTAATTAAAAATAAAAAGAGTGAAGAAGAATTTAAATAAATAATTTTATGAAGAAAAATAAATATTTATTTATTTATTTAATAATATTAATTTGCTTTTTTTATTAAATTTTGTTTGTATTTATTATTTATTTAAAGAGGTTAAAAAATATTTATATATTGGCTGGTTGGTTGGCGCGCATTGTGCGGTTTTGCAGCTGTGGGTAAAATTTAAAAAATTGAGTTGAGTGATCTTTACAAAGAAAATAAAATGAGGGAAGGGCTTTTAAAAGAAAATAAAAATACGTTGAACACAAAAAAAGGTTTTCATTGCTGGCACTGCAAAAGAACGGGTGTTGATGGTCCTAATTTCTCTTTTTTCCCTCAATTATTTAATTTCTTCTTCTGTCATTCAGCCGCGCGAAAACAAAAAAAAGGCCAGCAGAATTACTTAAAGAGATCACTACCAACAACAAAAATCTAAATACGAAGGACAACAATGAAATAAACAAGAGAAAAAGGAAGAAGAAATCACCCCCCCCCCCCCCCCCTCCCTCCCGCTTTCCTCCACAAAAAAGTCCACAAGAGAGAGGAGGCCAATAACTAATAATGAATATGTGAGGGATGGAAAACTCGAACAAAGTGAGGGAGAAGAAGGTTTTGTCAGAAGAAAAGGACATAGAAATGAAGAGTTATGGCGGTGTAATTAGAGCGACGGAAGAGAAAATCGGAAATGATTTTTGCGATGTTCTCTTGAAGGAAAAATATATATAAAAGAATTTATTTAAATATATTTTTGTAAAAATATTTTTTTAATTTAATAATATTTTTTACATGGGAAAAAGAAAAAATTGGCAATTAAATTAATCGAAAAAAATAAATTAAAAAAGGGCCACTCACAACTCATGTCTAAAATCGGTTATTTGGTTTTGGTCACCGTCTTTAATCCCAGTTTCGGATCAGTTCGCACCCTGAGTTTGTGCTACCCTAATCAAAACTTTAAAATAATTTAAAAAAGGTTTTTAATAATTTTGGTGACATACATATCTAAAATATTTAAAATAAAATTTATTTTTTAATATCGCAGCTGGTTGATTTTTTGATCACAGCCGGCAAAGCCCTCAACAATTTTTTAATATTCCTTTGAATAATAATAGAGAAATTTTTATTTCATCTAAATTCGATGGCCAAAATTGGCTTTCACAGGACAGTCTAAAATAAGTCTTTTCCTATTTTTGATTATTTTTCTTTGTGCTTTACTATGATGGGAAAATGCAAAACATAAAGTAATTTTAGATATTTTAATAAATTTTAAAAAAAAGTTAATTTTCTGGAAAATTATGTAACTATTAAATTCTAAATTAACAAAATAAATTAAAAAGAAAATATAATTTTCTTCTTTAATTAAATATTTATAAAAACATTATTTAATATTCTCTTTACAAAATTTAAATGGAAAAAAACCAAGAAAATGCCAAAAAAAGAGAGAGGAGAATCAGCATTTCCGTTTATTTACATACATTGAATAAACGAATCAACTTTTATGAAGAAAGTATTGAGCAAAAAAATAGAGGAAAGGGAGAATATTATTTATGCTAAAAATAAATTAAAATAAAGAAAAATATTTTTAAAATTTCAAAATTAACAAATAATTTAATGGATTTAACATTTGATAACAGAAATAGATAATTTTGAAGGAAAAGAAATAAGCGAGAAAAAAGCCTTAGATAAAAATATTATGAAAAGGTGAATAAATCCATTCATTCCTTTTAACAATTACAATTTCCATTTCACGGCCATATCCATTAGCGGTAAATAACTAAAGAATAGAACAGTTGAAAGACAAAAATATATTAATTTTAATGATGTTCGTTGTGGATGGAAGGATGGTGATCTTCTTTCACGCTTTTTTAAACAGCTAGGGGTATTTTATTTATTTATTCATGCAAATCTCCGGGTCAATCAAATTAAAAATAAATTACCTTAATTAACACAATTATTAATCTGTATTATTAAAATTTAAGTGAAAAGAAAGGAACAATTGGAGTTAAAAAGAAAAAGTTATATCCTCTATATGATATTTAACATTTTTCATTTCCTTATTAGCACAAAGATTTTTCAACTTTTTATATATTTATTCACAAATTTTATAAGTACAAATCACCACAAAAGGGAAAATGAGTATATA